CATCAGGGCCAATCCAGTCATATCTGCTCAGTCGTGCAGCACAGTAGGGCGGGGTAGAGAAGTGGGAGGTGGGCTTTTGGCAGCAAAGGAAAGAGGCCAAAGTTGCCATTTTGCTGCTGAGCGCCAAGAGAGAAAGACGGCGTATATTTCTCCGTGGGACACTACTCGTATTGGCAAGTTTTCTTGGACGATATTAGTTTAGCCTTCCCCTCACTTCTCTTTCCCAGCCTAATCTAAGGGGCCATATACAGTCTTCTGCAAAAGGAAAAAGGTTGCCTTTAAAGTTCAGTTGGGCTGGTGTGGCTGGACTTAAGGTACAACTCTGAAAACCCTCTTGGAGTTGACCTCAGAGTTGGCAGGACTTGGAAATGGAGGAATTAGTAAAGTATGTGGGGGGATGGGGGATGGAGATGTTCAAACTCTAACTACGGCTCGACTTCTTAAGGTCTGTCTCATTTTTCAGAATGAATTAATGGGCCTCCAGGAATCCAAAGGGACCTAAACAAATTATGCAGTTCATGAAGTGTTTTGTACTCTTTTCACTCAAAGTCTTCAATAGGAGTAATAGTCATAATTATTGAGCACTGTGGTGTAGGGGAGCCTACATGCTCAGCATTTTAATGTTGGAGCATTTAATGGAACACAAGAATAGATGTGGCTAAAGACCATAAAACTCTTCCTGGGAGTACGTTCCATCGTCTGCCTACGAGAGCTACAGGTTAGCGGCTGCTCTAGAAATTAGAATGGAGGCACATTTATACTCTATTACCAACCAGAGGGGTAAGTGGCCATTGAATGCGTGGTGGAACTTGTTAACACAGATGTATATTTGTTGTTCTGCCTCTTCAAAGCCAGAGAAGGCTGTGCTATACTGGCTTGGAGCCAGAAGACCACGGCTCACATCTGGGAGACTCGTTGAACCTCCCAGCCTATCCTCCTACCTGGTCATGGGGGTGGATAAGCCTGCTTCACTGGTTCCCAAGCATCCACCTGCGCATCTGTCATTTACAGCCCAAGATGAAGTTTCAGCAGTCTGTGACAAAAATGGGACAGTGATGAAGTAGTAACAATGTAGTAACTTCTAACCAAGTTAAATGTGTCCGAGTTATAGAATTATTGCAGTTTTATAGGTTCTAACCCAATATGAGTGTGTCTTTTATTCTGAATTTAATGTCCTTTCTATTTTTGTAGCATTAATATTAAAATCCCCTTTTATGAAATGATGAAAACAGACTGTAGTCATAGTAATTTAATAGGCTTCTTCTTTTTATGTCCTTTTTTTTTTTTTTTTTTGAGACAAAGTCTCGCTTTGTTGCCCAGGCTAGAGTGAATGCTGTGGCGTCAGCCTAGCTCACAGCAACCTCAAACTCCTGGGCTCAAGCAATCCTGCTGCCTCAGCCTCCTGAGTAGCTGGGACTACAGGCATGAGCCACCATGCCCGGCTAATTTTTTCTATATATATTAGTTGGCCAATTAATTTCTTTCTATTTATAGTAGAGATGGTGTCTCACTCTTGCTCAGGCTGGTTTTGAACTCCTGACCTCAAGCAAACCACCCGCCTGGGCCTCCCAGAGTGCTAGGATTACAGGTGTGAGCCACTGTGCCCGGCCCCTTTTTATGTCCTTGTTTGACAAAATAAGGAGTTGGCAGACTTATGTTGGTCACCCTATTTTGTTGTTGTTATTATACTAGTCCATGAAATCTAAGTCTGAGGACCACTGGCATCATTCACAGCTTGTTATGAGAACTGAAATAAGATATGTGTAATCGCATCCTTTATATACAGATAAGGAATAGATAAGGGATACCCAAACATAAGGTGCTATTTTAATATTACCTCTAGCCATGATTCTTTGGTGGGATGTGCCCAGGAATATATGGATGTTGTGGGGTTGGAGCCTTGAACTCCATTGGTTTATTTTCCATCAATAATAGATCTGTTCACTAGATTTTCACAAGCAAAATAAAATAGAGAATTATCTCTTTGAAGAAGATGAGAAAAATATTCTTCCTTTGGTTTAGATTTCTCCCTGCTCCAGTGGAACACCTTGCTACTCTGATCTGACTTCCTCTAAATTTTCATTGTTAGAAGTCAGGAACCCAAGGTACTTTCCCTTAGCACCTCTAAAGCTTCTTGCCTTAACAGCATAGTTGGCTTGTTTCAATAACAATGGGTTTGGAAAGATTTTGTCCTAAATTAGTTTCTTTCCTTCAGTTATCATAAGAAACTTTGCAACTGGACATTAAAAAAAAAAATGGCAACCAATCCTAGCATTGCAGGATGGAGCACGGAAGGGCACAGCTTCGTCTGGCTTTAGCTTAGAAATCACTAATGAGATGGTCAGAGAGGACTTTTTATGTCATGAACATGTATCATGATACCCATGTGTCAAAAACCATTGCCCTGACCAGTCTCGGTGGCTCATGCCTGTAATCCTAGCACTCTGGGAAGCCGAGGCGGGCGGATCGAAACCAGGGCGGATCGGAACCAAGGTAAGGAGTTCGAAACCAGCCTGAGCAAGATTGAGATCTCGTCTCTACTAAAAATAGAAAGAAACTAATTGGCCAACTAAATATATATAGAAAAAAAAATTAGCCAGGCATAGTGGTGCATGCCTGTAGTCCCAGCTACTCGGAAGGCTGAGGCAGGAGGATCTCTTGAGCCCAGGAGTTAGAGGTTGCTGTGAGCGAGGCTGACACCATGGCACTCTGGCCCAGGCAACAGAGTGAGACTCTGTCTCAAAAAAAATAAAAAAAAAAACCATTGCCCTTACACTTTATCTTTGATCTTATATAAAATAAGCAGCTTTATGTCTCAAAACAGCTAGTTTTTGAATGACTTACTATCCTTTTTGGTATTTACTATTTTTTGCAAGTTCTTAATCTCCCCACTGCTAGCTTCAGCAAGAGGACTGGAATTCCCTGGACTCTAAGTAATACTGGTATTACATGCACTCAGGGATTGAGAATTTCAGATTTTACAATGATTACGATCAGTCCCATCCACTGGTATCTATGAAGCTCCCACTCTGTGAAGGGATTTGTCCTATGTTGTGATGGCTCACAGGGGATGAAGCCAAAATAGTTCCCTTTTTCCAAGAGCTCTTGATCCTAAAGAGGGAAACAAGACCAGCTGACGTATAGTGCTGAGAGCACGTGCTCACCACCCACGTTCATGTGGGTACCTGAGTGAAATATACACAGAAACTCAAAAGGACTAATATAGTTCAAGTAAAGCTGTCACAACTGAATTGATATATCAGTAGGGGTGAGATATTAGTAAGATAGTAAGATTAAGCAAGATATTTATAAGATATTAGATTTAGACCTCATTAAAACCAGATTTGATTGTATAGGAGTAAATTACACAAATTGTTGTTTTAACATAACATTTAGGTTGAACTGTTTGATAAGAAATGAACTTTATCCTGGCTCTGCCACGCACGAGCTATATGCTTGGGCTTCTTACCTGATTGTGATGTTTCTCACCTGTTTTCCATAAGGCAGTGAGAATGGCACCCTTCACAGGGTAAGCAGTAAATTTAACGGCAGTCTGAGGAGTGTTAGGAGCAGATACATGTGGCTGGTGTTCCGAGCTGCTAGTTTTGAGCAGAGGACCCCCTCCTACTCTCAATTCCCCATTCCTACAAGGAACTGTTCCCCATGCCACATCCATCACTGGGGATGCCCCCACTGCTCTAACCTTCCCAGGAGAAGAGAAGCTCCTGTAGGAAACCCTACCTAATTGGAAGTTTCTGGGTGCTCAAGAGGGGGAATGCCCTCTGCTCGACAACAAGCAGATAGCGTTTGTGTGTGCCCTGAGAGCACAGGCTGGGCATTGCCCATGCCTGCAATTAGTGTCCTGCCTCTAGGTACTATCTAGCCAGGCTCCAAATAACAAGGTTAGAAGTAGGCTTTAAAATGCCATTTTGTTTATCTCCCTCTAAAGATGAAAATCACACCTAATTCAAGAAACCACTTTTCATCACTCTTTCAAGTGTTTACCAGATATCACCGTCATTAAAAATGGTGGTCCCATGGCTCCTAATCCTATAGGGTAGAACATGGCTGGAAGAAGCCCAGAGCAGGATCCTGTAACATGGGCTCTTGCCCTGGTGTAAGAGCAGTAATGAGTAAAGTTCACAACTCTAGAGATGTTCAAGCAGGAGGAGCAACCGGATGTTCAAGCAGGTTGAGGTGAAGTTTTGCTCATAGTCCACCATAGGTCACAGGTTTGCACTGGAGGAATGATCCAGTTTGCACACATTCCCCCTCCCCCATCAGTTCAATCCCATTTCCATTAGCTATCGCTGTGCAAGGGGCATTATATACTATCATGTTTAATGGTATTTTTCTACAAACCAAATTTTTGGCTCTATTAAAACAGCCACATGTTATAGACCCTGAAACCTGTTCATTCTGTGAGTCACTAAAAGTGTTCTAGTGGACCTGCCTCATCCTGTGACATGATTCCTTCCCAAGCACTTGCTCTGCTCTTTGGATTTAAAAGAGTAATAATAAAAATATACTGCCCTCAATTTGTAAAGCTATTAAGAAGGGTTCCCAGATTTCAACCTAGAGAAGAGAAAACATAAGTCAAGAGAACAGAAGTCAGAGAGTTGTGTAGCTCTGACTGCAGGCAGTTTATCTCAATGGTGTAGTGCAAACAACCCAGCTTTTGGAATCAGGCAGACAGAACTCTGGCTATTTAGCTGTCTGATCTTGAACAAGCCATTCAGCCTCTTTGAGCCTCAGTTTTTCATGAGTTGCAATCAAGTTAGTTAACAAACACTCAATAAGCTTTCACTACCTGCTGGGCTGTGTGTCAGACATAGAGTATATAGCAGTAAATAATACAGGTCCCCAAAGCAGGTATCCAATGTTAGTTCCCTTCCACTTCCCTTCAAATATACTATTATTATACATACTCTGACAAAGTTGAAAATAAGATAGATGGCTACAATTTTGTACATACAAGAATTTTGTTGGGGGCCTAGACACAAGAAAAAAAAAGGATATTTTTTTTCAACATTAGGTCTCATGCACCTTAGATCATTTTGTCTTGATCTTGATTTAAATTCATGTAACTACGAGTTTCTATTTACCGTCAACAGTGAATCCCTATTTTAGTGAAGATGAAGAAATTATACAGATACTGCCTCACTGATCCTTTCAGACCTTCCACTTCTGATGTGAAGTGGATGAGAACAGGTATTAACATTAAACCCATTTTACAGATGAGGAAGCTGATGCAAGCAGATTCTTCTGTGCCTCTTTTGTCCCCCAGTCCCAGCCCGCACAGAAGCGGCACTCAGTGGTGCTGTTTACACGTTGACTGTTTCAGCAGCTCAGAAAGGAGAGGTACCCAAGAGTTAGCAAAAAGAGAACGACTTAGGATTGCACTGTGGCCGCTCAGCTTTTGCCTTCTCCCTCCTCTAGGTGGGTGAGAAATGGGTGACTGGAGTTTCCTGGGGAACATCTTGGAGGAGGTGAATGAGCACTCCACGGTCATCGGCAGAGTCTGGCTCACCGTGCTCTTCATCTTCCGGATCCTCATCCTGGGCACGGCGGCAGAGTTCGTGTGGGGGGACGAGCAATCCGACTTCGTGTGCAACACCCAGCAGCCAGGTTGCGAGAACGTCTGCTACGACGAGGCCTTCCCCATCTCCCACATCCGCCTCTGGGTGCTGCAGATCATCTTCGTGTCCACGCCGTCGCTCATGTACGTGGGCCACGCGGTGCACTACGTGCGCATGGAGGAGAAGCGCAAGGACCGCGAGGCGGAGGAGCTGTGCCAGCAGGCGGGCGACGGCGGCGAGAGGGGCCCGCTCAACCCAGACCAGGGCAGCATCAAGAAGAGCAGCAGCAGCAGCAAAGGCACCAAGAAGTTCCGGCTGGAGGGGACCCTGCTGAGGACCTACATCTGCCACATCATCTTCAAGACCCTCTTCGAGGTGGGCTTCATCGTGGGCCACTACTTCCTGTACGGCTTCCGCATCCTGCCGCTCTATCGCTGCAGCCGCTGGCCCTGCCCCAACGTGGTGGACTGCTTCGTGTCGCGGCCCACTGAGAAAACCATCTTCATCCTGTTCATGCTGTCTGTGGCCTCTGTGTCCCTCTTCCTCAATATCATGGAGATGAGCCACCTGGGCCTGAAGGGGATCCGCTCTGCCTTCAAGAGGCCCGCGGAGCAGCCGCTGGGGGAGCTGCCGGAGAAATCCCTACACTCCATCGCCGTCTCCTCCATCCAGAAAGCCAAGGGCTACCAGCTCCTAGAAGAAGAGAAAATCGTGTCCCACTATTTCCCTCTGTCCGAGGTTGGGATGGTGGAGACCAGCCCACTCTCTGCCAAGCCCTTCAGTCAGTTCGAGGAAAAGGTCAGCACAGGACCCCTAGGGGACCTGTCCCGGGGCTACCAGGAGACACTGCCTTCCTACGCTCAGGTGGGGGCGCAGGAAGTGGAGGCGGAGGGGCAGCCTGTCGAGGAGGGTGCAGAGCCCGAGGTGGCAGAGAAGAGGCAGGAAGCGGAGAAGGTGTCCACGGAAGGGCAGGAGGCCGCGGCAGTGCCAGAGGGGGAGAAAGTGGAGACCCCTGGAACGGGCAAAGAGGGTGAGAAAGAAGAGCTGCAGGCCGAGGTGGCGTTGAAGCAAGGGCTGCTAGCTGAGAAAACACCCTCGCTCTGTCCAGAGCTCACGGCAGAGGACACCAGACCCTTGAGCAGGCTGAGCAAAGCCAGCAGCCGGGCCAGGTCAGACGATCTAACCATATGAAGTGGTGCCGAAAAGAAAACACTCAGGCTAATATAGGGCAAGATGAAAGGAAAAGGTGCCAACGCGATTTGAGTCTTTTGTCCCCTCTCCTTCCTCCCACCCCTGGTTGGATAGGCACTGCATCGTCACACAACTAGGAAACTGCCTTTCCCATACACAATATAAAGGCTACCAAGATAAACCCATTGTCCTATCCAAGTTCCCAGTCTCATATGGCTCCCTGTTCCTCCACTCCAGTGGCTATGGGGGACTCTGCTTTTGCCGGCAGTTCTCCGTAGAAATCCTTGAATCAGAAGTGTGGTTGCCTCATAGCCCTTTACCAGTCTTGTCTCAGGTTCATTAACTCAGCCAGACTCTATCACCCCAGCACTTCCCCAGCATATACCATGTGGCCATGTCAGGAAGCTCCTACTCATTAGCCTACAGGATGCAGGCAGGTGACTTAAACTGGTGATGCAGGCCTATTCTAATCCAGTGGAGACAGGTGGGCTGTGCAAGTTGGTGAGCAAGGGCAGGTGTTGCTTACTTGCAAACAGTGAGTACCTTGCAGTGTTACCTGGCCATCTGATTTTTCAAGAGAAGCCAGAAATCCAAACTGTTCATTGAAATTTCCAAAAGTGTTAATATTGGCAGGTAAATTTTAAATACAACATATGGGCCAAATGAAATGTATGTGAGCCAAATTTAACCTGTGGGACACCAATTTGCAACAATGTCAGCTTACACTAATGAGCCCAGATTTCCTATGGAATTGGTCTTATTATTTATGGTCTCCACTTGTTTCTGTGACTGCCAAACCTCTTTGCACTGCTTTGGAGTATTTGGTTTAAATCGTCAGTCTAGGAGATGCCCAGAGTTCTCACCTGACCATTCTTTTGGGTCATGTAGCCCCTGGGTTCTGAAGCAATGATATGCTTTGTATTGGAATTCTGCCCTGGGTACTATCAGGGAAAGGGAGCAAGATGCCCAAACCTCTCGCTGTGAAATGAAAGCCTGGCTGCAAGGTTTTTGTCCTGAAGCTAAAAAGAGCCTTTTCTTTACCTCCTTTTCCAATGCTTTGTATTGGAATTCTGCCCTGGGTACTATCAGGGAAAGGGAGCAAGATGCCCAAACCTCTCGCTGTGAAATGAGGCCTGGCTGCAAGGTTTTTGTCCTGAAGCTAAAAAGAGCCTTTTCTTTACCTCCTTTTCCAACATCAGGGCTCAGCCTAAAATCTACACCTCCTTTCATCAGGGGCTGGAAGCAACCCCAGTTCTGAGCTGGAGGACACCTGCTCACAGGCCTAGCATAAGGAGAGTCAGCACTCAGCCCTTGCTTAGGCACAAGATGTGTACCAAGAGGGCCATCAAAGGGGCATAGGGATAGCCTCTCACAGAGTAGGTGCTCAAAATAGCCAGGGTCCCAAAGTCTAGTTCCAGGCCAAATTTCATCCCTGGAAGGGACATAGAGACTAAAGTGAACAAGAAGAATCTGGAAGGTCTCCTGCCCTTGTATCCCCACAAACCACCCACCTCGAACATAGAGTCCAGTCAGGGAAAATCCTCAAGTACAAGTACACATTTCACACCAGGAGCAACTTTACCAGAGCCAAGCAATTTCTACAGCAGAGAGAGAAAGTGATAACTAAGGTGGTTATCTAAGCCAAAGTTATGCTTCATGGGCTGCAGTGCCAAAGATAAGGTAGGAGGTGTAGAGACCAAGTTGACATGGCAAGGACCTGAACAGGAGACCACCAAGGTACCCAGAAGAGGTACCCAGAAAAATTGCCTTCGTTCTATCAGTATATTCCCATCCCAACCCACCTCATCCCAGACCAGCACCATCCCAAAGTATGCAAGTCCTTTTTGCTGGCCTCTGGTTACCACCTTCCTTTCAAGATATTCATTCTAGATAAGCCTTTCCAAAGTAAACCTTCTCTAAAACCATTCCTCCCGTGATAATATTCCCACTGGTTGGTGCCACATTCTAAAGCAAAGTGGTCTAAAAATTAAATCCATTCTAAGGTATGATTGTTTGATAATTACTCCTGGGAAAATGTGCATTTAAAAGACAAAGGCTGAAATATATTTTACCTAGGTAACCTGAAGTGACAAACCTTCAGTGGAGGACTGTTGAATAGAAGAGATATTTATCTTGTGACATGTGACTTTCTGGCTACTGCTTGATCTCACTATTCCACACAGTCCTTCTCCTATATGATGAGAGAAGTAATAAAATCTCAGGCCTGAGAACCAGAGAGTGCATCCTTGACCCCAATGGATGCACTATTGTGCCTACGGTTTCGCTCCTGAAGTCTCATTTTAGGAAGAGTCTAATGAATAGCTTGATCATTACCAGAATAAAATGTCTATCTCAACCAGGACCTAATTATCAAAAGAAAAAAATTATGTCCTGTCTAAGTGAAACTGGTGGTGCTGTTTAGAACCAGTTGTAGAGCTGTAAGTAAGGGCTGCTGGTCTCCTTGTCTCGGCTGGGACGTAAGTGTGTGGATGAAGTAAGTGAGTGTTTTTCCTGGGCTGAAGCAGCATCCTGCTTCAATGCTCAAACCTGCCCCTGCCCCCCACATTTTCCTTCCTGGACTTCCCCCAAAAGAGGAAGCCTGTTTAGGAACAAAGAGACAGAGGCATCAAGGAACTGGGATTTTTCCTTCCATTTCTGCCATTTAGTAGCTTTGTTATTATTGTCCCTTAAACCTCTCTGTACCTCACTTTTCTGTCTACAAACTAGAGATGTCATTTGCCACCTATCTACCTCCAGGGGTGTCATAAAGATTAGTGAGTTGGCTGCCAAGCATGGAGCCTGCTGAATGGTGCCACTCCCTGAGAGATTCCTCCAACAGCGGTAAGACTGGGAAGAAAGGTGGGTGGTGGTTTCCATCTGTCCCTCCCAACCTGCCTTGCAGTTACCTGGTGAGAGTTTTTCAATGTGGAACAGACACTCTGGAGATCCATTTTCTCAGAAAAGACTCAAGACAGAATCTTAACCCCATGTGTTTATTAGGAACCTGAGGTTCTTTGACCTTAAGAAATGACTGGGGACAGATTGACAATTACTTTCATCCTCTAAAGAATGTGAGGATGATGTGAGAGCCATCTAGAATAAGATGACCCAGCTTAAGCTACCACACAACTGCTGCCAGTTTCCACTCAGAAGCAGCTGCATGTCTTCAGTAGCCCGTACTCTATGCAGCTACATCCCTCAGCATCTGTTTTGAGGCCAATAATTATGACTGATTCAGAATTACAATCCTCCTGGGCTCTATTCGGTCCAGCTTTAGTTCCTACTCCTAGTCAGTCCTTTCTTAGATTAAACCCCTAGAGCACATGGACCTACCAATAAAAAGGCATGTGGACGGCAGGATATCAAAAGTGCAGTCCCTCCAGAGGAAAAGGGCTAATCACTTGATAGCAGTTATAACACCTCCATCGGGGAGATCTGTGACACAAAGGGATAAAGTTACTCAAAGTGCAGTTAGAAAGTTTTGAGCCTGGCTGTGTAATCCCTGGCCTAGCATTTTGGGCATTATAAAAAGGCCTGTATGCTTTTCACCATGACTTTGTCCCCTGCCACTCAGGTGAAGCATCCAACACAGCACTGGACAAATGTTCCTGAAGGTCTGTGTGACCTGGGGACCCACAAAGAACACTGACATTCAAGTCAGGAGTGCTGGCTTCCCCTTTCTGACTCCAGGGATGCTAAGATGCCATTTACCTGCTCATATGACAACTTTTTCTACGTGAATTGGGGATGATAAGTTCTGCCCCTCCTTCACAAGATAGTATAAGTCTTTCTTAAAACTCATTAATCTGTAAATGAAAGGAAAGAAGGCATTATCCAAATTTGTAAGTCCATATTGTAAAATGTATACTGAAGCAATGACAGTCATCACTTTCAAATACTTCACAGATTGTTAACAAAAAGTGAGCCAATAATTAAAATGAAGAAAGTGAATTGGGGCAGGGAGGGGGGGTGAGTAGTCCTGAATTCCTAAGAATTATACTGCCAAGAAAAGAACATCTTTAATCATGTGAGATTTAGTTGCTGAAAGTGGTGCTAAAGATACTCAGCATACTAGACCTCATATTTAGAGATGCATCAGCCCCTGAGACAGTTTCTGACTCATGGCAGAAGGGGGTCCATGGATATTGACACAGCTGCATGCCGGAACTCTTCAGTCTAAGCCATGAGGAAGGCTGGGGGCAAGGCTAGTGCAAATCCCTGCTCCTCTCCAGTTCCTGATGAGGGTCATTAGGAATAAGAATGAGCACACCACCCCAACACCGTCTCCCAGCCCACTCCCCAACCTCCTCCCCGCTCCTTCCCCTGACCCTGAACTACACTTCTATGCATATCGTGTGCAATGATTGCACAACACAAGTTAGCAAAGTTTAGATGAAAAAGGTTTGCCTGGTTGGATGGAAAACTCTTTTGAGTGTAAATACCATCTGTAAAACGTAGTAAGTGTGTGCCTAGAAGTAAGTGTGTGATAGTGAAATAGTCAGGGAGACTTTCCCTTCTTGTAGTTAGTGTAGTATAACTAAATATGTACTTGGGAAGGGAGGAGAAAAAGGAAACAAAATTCTAGGTTCAGCATTTGGGTGAGAAGAAAGGAACTTTTATGAGAAACTTTCATGAGAAACAATTCACTCTCCCTAGACATTGCAGCTCCCAAAGCCAGGGAGAGGGTGGTATTCACCTGTGGCAATGGCCCCCAGATTGCAGTGGGACATACCACAGTCTCCAGCCACACTGCTTTCTGGAAGTTCTCCATGACAGACAAAGAGAATTCTAGAAAAAACTCATAAAGTTGCCTGAAGGCTCCTTTGGAAATGGCTCCATTGCCTTTTTCTACAAATTTTTTCATTTGTGAAATGGAATAGTGAAGATGCAGTGAAGAAACACATTCATAATAAACTTCCTGGGGAAATCTCTGGTGAAAGAGAGAGGCATTCTTGGGATGGTGGTCCTGTATTCTCTAACCCTCCTCCACATCCTTGTGTCAGAGCTAATAGTCACGTGTTAGACTGTTACAAAGCAAATAAAACTAACTTGACTTTTCATCATCTTTGTTTTTTTCTTTTGACCTGTCAGCCAAGCTAGACTGTGAAGAGACCGCCTTAGTCTCTAGTTAGCTTTCTTTTGGAGTTGAGGACCTGGGGAACAGGGGAAGTTGGGTGAGGGAGGGCAGGGGTATGGTATATGGTAAACATACAACAACCAGCTTTCTCCAGGGTTAAGAAGCCATAGTTTGTAGCATTTGCCAATTTCTTTGCTTTGAATTCTCCTACCACTACCAATTTTAACCTAACAACATAATATCACTGAACACAGAGTTGGGAAAAGATGCACAATAGCATTAATATTACAAAGTTTTTCCACCATACAATGGATATGCACCACACAGTAGATATAAAAAAACCTCAGAAGCATACATATTAGTAAAATAATTAGGAAGCAGTAAGTTTTGAGCATTTATTATCTTTGTGTTCTATATATTTTTTAAGTTGAAATAATTTAATTGTTAATAATGACTATACTCAACAACTGGCTCACAAAATTTCTGAAAATTAGGCAAATGACTCTTGGTAACCAGCATAAGCCAGCTCCAGCACATCACTGGGTGGGACAGAGGAGAATCTCATTCAGAAAAGACGTGAAAACTCTACTGATCAATTGAGATTTGGTCAGTTGGTTCCCTGCCTTTCTCTATACAAACCGCAGGAAAAATATAAGGTATACTTGTTTGGCCTATGGAAAGGTGCAATAGAATCATATTTGTTTACTTCCATATCAATGAGAACTATAGAAAGATTTAAATTTGTTCATTATAAGTAAAAATAAATTGATAACAAAATTAGCCAAAAGCTTCTGCCTGGGATTTATCATATCTGCTCAAAATCCTTCAATGGCTCTTCATTGCCTACCCAATTCTAAATTTCTTAACATGACTTACAAAGCCCTTAATAACTAACTTCAACCTATCTGGAGAGGATGTCTGTTTTTGTCTGACCTGTATCTATTCTCCCTTCTTTTATAATAACATCTCCATTTTACCTATAAGAAACTCCCTTCCTCCATTGGACCTAGTCTTGATGGACTTAGTCATGTTTACTCAACCTCCCCTAGTTGAGGGTCAGGTCTTTTGACCTACATGGGCCAATCAGATACTGTCTCCTTGGAATGTGAATCTTATGTAGAATAACATAGAATTTGAAAATTGATTGGAATTCATTCTTCTTGGCAAAAGCTCTTGAAGAAACTCATAGTTCTTGCTTACGTAGATTGCCAGGGGGTGCTTAGTTCCTCTTGTTTTTACTTTTTTGATTTTATAATTTTTATTTTTTTTTTCTTTTGAGACAGAGTGTTGCTCTGTCACCTGGACTAGAGTACTGTGGCGTCAGCCTAGCTCACAGCAACCTCAAACTCCTTGTCTCAAGCAATCCTCCCACTTCAGCCTCCACAGTAGCTGGGACTACAGGTGCGCACTACCACACCCGGCCAATTTTTCTATTTTTGGTAGAGACGGGGTCTCACTCTTGTCCAGGCTGGTCTTGAACTCCTGACCTCAAGCAATCCTCTTGCCTCGGCCTCCCAGAGTGCTAAGATTACAAGCATGAGCCACCATGCCTGGCCAGTTCCTCTTTTTTTAGATCATGTTTCTTCAGCCTTCCTTCAGTTTACTGAGCTACCCCAGAGTTTCTTTTTATCTTTTTAATTTACCATAGCCAAAATCATCTCTATTGCTTGCCAGCAAAAGCCCAACTGATGCACCACCTCTCTAACCTCATCTCCCACATCTGTTTACATGTGCATGTGCCCCAGCCTAATGGAACCATTGTCTGGTCCCCAGAATGGACAGTTCTGGCAGATAGCTATGAATAAATGTCATGTCGTTTCAGGACTCTGCTCTGTCCTGCCTTTTTTTCCATGGTCGGCTTCTTCTCATCCTTTAAGATTTAGCTTGGTTGTCTCCTTCTTCATGAAATTTCGCAAATTTCCCAAGACAAAGTTAGTTGCTCCCTCTTTTGTGGCCTCTCAGAACTAATGTGCCCTTCTATTGTGGCACTCATCAAATTGTTTTTATTTACTTTTCTCCCATCTGACTTCAAGCAAAGTTCAGAACAGTTCTTATTATAAGAACATGCACATCTTTTACTTTTATTTATGAATTTCAACTAATATTTTAACCTCATTTGTATAAGTTCTTCCCTTTCATTCATAAATACTATCAATCAAATTTATTCTGCATGTTAATTATATTAGTAGGGAATCCCCTTCCTAGTTTTAATAAATGGAAAAAATTTTTAATGTTATTTATATTTTTTAAATAATAGCTCTGAGTCTCTCCAAATTTGGGAAATAAACAATCATCAGTCTCTTCAGTCCAATTGGAATAACCAACAGCCAAAAATTTTAAATATACATTTAAACTAATTAATGATGAGGGAAAACTGTGGATGTAAACTCATAATAATAATAATAATAGATAAAAATTATTACATATGTATAAAGTATTTTTGAGGGCTTTATGTATATTACTTATTTAATCTTCATAATAACCTTATGAGATGAAGTACTATTATATCCTTATTTTTTAGATGTGGGAACTGAGGTGCAGAGAATGAAGAAACTTGCATAAGGCACACAATTATTTAAAGATTATTTATTCCTCAGGGACACGGCCTCAAGAACAACCAAGCACTTGATTCAGAGTTAACTACCTTATATGAACCAATTAAGGGCTTGGACAGGGAGGGCACCCTAAGTGCATACCAGGTCAGCACCAAGGTCAACACATCCAAAACGAGACTGTATAAGAGAAAAGAATTAAAATGCACCACCAAGAAGGCCTGGAAGAGTGGGGAACCAACTAGGGAAGAGGTTCACAGTAGACTCAAGGAAGATGAAGGGGAATTCTTGAGCCATGGCACAAGTGGTTGATACAGTTTTTTAGGCTGTGCTGAGGCTATTGAGTGAAATAACCATACCTGGAGTGGGAGGTTGAGGGGAGAAGTAAGGAAGGTAGTTAGCACCACTCTGGTGCTCAGTCCCCTCTTCTTTTGAGATGGGAAGCAGAGTCTCATAACCAGTCCTCCAGCCCAGTCAGTGCGTATAAGAATCTCTAGGGAAGCTGTTAAAAATGCAAATTCCTGCTAAAAAAGTTGAACACATAGCAGCAGAAAGTAGAGTGGTGGTGGGAGGGAGGTTGGGGAGATATTGGTCAAAGAATACAAAATTTCAGTTAGATAAGAGGAATTAAGTTCAAGAGATCTATTGTAAAGCATGGTGACTAGTCAATAACAATGTATTGGATTTTTAAAATCTCTGGGAGTAGATGCTAAGTGTTCTCATCACAAAAAATGGTAAGTATCTAAGGTAATGCATATGCTGATTAGCTTGATTTAGCCATTCCACAATGTATCCACATTTCAAAACATCGTGTTGTACACAACACATACATACAATATTTACTTGTTAATTTAAATTTTTATAATTAAAAAAAGTTTTTAATGCAGATTCCTCCTTGGAGCCACCTTCAGAAATCTCAAGTTCACTGATCTACATTAGGGCCTATGAATCTACATTTTAAACAAGCTTCCCAAGACATCAGAGAACCTTTCTAGGCATCAAGTATAGATACTGTCCATGGGACCATTGGGAAATAAGCATTTTCTCTCTGAATACTTGCTGTTTCCTGTCCAGCTTACCCTAGTGGCTTACTGGGGTATGCTGTGGGGTTCAGAGTCTCAGTGAATCTCACATAGTGGGGAAAGCTACATGATAGGATAGATGTACATGGAGGGAGACAGCACAGAGTAGGACACCATGGAATTGGTGAGGCCATATGTCTCAAAATATCTCAAACTTAGAGCTCCATGTGAATTTATAACTATGGCACAACAAATAAAAAATTTTAAAAGAAAATCCCTAACAGAGATCATCCAGCTACTGGCATGAATAGGTGCTATGTATATGCATGGAGAAGAGGTACTACAGTGTTTCCTAGGGATCTGATATTAGTGTCAACTCCTGGGCCCACCAGTTCTTTGCACTAATTTGGAGGAAGGAGATAATATAGTTACCGTGTTTCCCTGAAAATAAGACACGGTCTTATATTTATTTTTCCTCAAGAAGACACCCTAGGGCTTATTTTCAGGGGATGTGTTATTTTTTTTTAAGTATGATATAACAATCTACATTTATTCAAACATAGTTAAATCGTCTTCTTCTGTAACATCATCATAACTCTCCAAACCCCAAATTCCATCCTAAATTTCTTGTGACTCTATTTCCTTTAGAACCATTGGCCCCAATCTCTCATGTCGAGCAATGGGGCAGATGAGAAGGGCTGCTTATCTTCTTTACCGCTCCACAATGAAACACATGGGTTGTGCAGATAACGCTGAGTAGCCACGCCAATCACTAGGTCTTATTTTCGTGGTAGGGCTTATATTACACAAATGTTTAGAAATCATGCTAGGGCTTATTTTATGGGTAGGTCTTATTTTCAGGGAAACACAGTAGTAGCTGTCAAGATGTGTATGGTCCTGGAAAGTGTGAGAAGACAGGAGGTATTAACACTGTAGCTGCTATGAAAAGGGGCAGTAAATTAGTGTAAGCAAACACTGGTCCAACGGATACAGATTGATCATCTTGTCAGTATACTCTTTATAACAGGTCTATTTGGGTGTCAATCTCTGGATGAGTGGTAAACAATGGCCAGTAGTTATGAACATGACATATTTTGAAAAGCACCCTTCACAAAATGGGATGCAAACTGAGGACTCAGTCAGAGCCCAGGTGGCTTGACAGTCCATGGAGGGAGAGCAGAAGACCTCACTCGCTATTGTAAGAGGATAAGAACAGCTAGAGAAGACTTAAGGAATAATAACAGGGGTAGAGGTGGAAGGGTAAGCCATTTTGGTGGCAGAGTCCACCACCACCATCAGAGACCTGTTTGGGGAGCAGTGTCAATTAGATATTAAATCCAGTACGAAGGTTTCTAGACATATTCTGCAATCAAAATAAAACCTTTGGGTTACTCAGGCCAGTCCTTAACCTGGACACAAGTGTTGCAGAAGGGACAATCCTAAATGATGTTGCTCAAAGCTTTGCACAGGCCTTGGGCCAGCAGGGATTGCATACCTTTCTCCACTATGCCAGGTTCACTGAGACCCTGATCCCCACTGTGTACCCCAGTAGTCACCAAGGTAAACTTGTTTGCCTTGATGGGCTCCCCCAGTCTTCTGCACTATCAGACAACTCTGAATGTCAGTTAGGTGCTGCTGTGTAGGCATCTTCTTGCTTCCCTGATAGAGCCAGGGACACAGTTCTCTAGTTTAAAATGCTCCCATAATAGGGCTGCCTCCACAGCTCCTTGACATTCTGGATCAGGAAGTGGACATCTGATAGGTATTGTAATTTTGGCTGCTTGGTATGGCAGAGTTCAATTCAAAGAAAGAAAGAAACATTACCTCGTGTGTAATAAATTTGTGAGTCTCCATTATTCAGACTACAGTAGTCTCAACACTCAGACCCTAAATGCAGAGCCCCCTCAGGACTGTGCTCCTGGGTCTTAACTGAAGCCATTCACACACAGAGTGATTGCCCTGGGCTAGAGCCAGTTTCCAGGACTATGAGACTATAGGGACTACAAGGACCAGCTAGGCCTTGGTGGGAAAGAATAAGCCCTATGGCACTGCATTAAGCCTTCGCAAAATGAGTATTAAATGGATGAGGTAGTGATTCAGTCTGTATTTGAGCTACAGCAACATGGTGGGAAAGGGAGGGGAGAGCTACTACCTGAAATAACCCATTCAGACTCTTAAAGAACTGTTCCTTGTTTTGAATTAAAATCCATTTCATTTAACTTCCAGTCCTTTGCCCCACAAATAACTCTCAGGGCCACATCAATTCTATTAATACCCATTTTTTCACATGAATACAGCTCATGCTTCTGAGTCGTCTTTCTTCCCTTCCTTCCAGTGGTCCTTACCTGGTGGCTCATCTTTGAGCATGCTCCAGTATGCCCATGTGTCTCTCAAAAGTGTGGTACAAAGAGTGCAGTACTCCTTGGGTGATTTATTTTATATCCAATGCAACGTGATGATCATTCCCTTACTCTACCTAGTGTGCTTTTATTGTCACATCAGAAATTTATTTGGTTAACTATGTTTAACTATCATCTGCCTTTCCACTCTTCCCTAACCTGTAGTTGTGCACCTGTGTTTGCAGAGTCAAGTAAAGTTGTAACATTTAGAACACAGTGCCTGATTCATGGCCTAACTCATTTTAATAATAATCATTATTAACTTCATCTTATTAGCTATGATCATTACAAAACAGAATTACCACTTAAAATAAGATGTTAGCTCTCAGGTCCCTCCTCCTTCAGCCTCAGAAATGGAACCGCTACCTAGCATTGCACGAGTTTGGGATTTCAGACAATTACTATCACCCTAACTAAGCCCCGCCCCCGGGGCCCCGGAGGCCGGACGCCTCACGCCTCGTCTTCGCCCCGCCCACTCCAAGCCCGAGGCGGGAAGCGCAGGATGCAGCCGCTGATTGGCTGGCCGCGGCGCAGCTTGATGGCGTCGGGCTGGCGAGCCGCGGTCCGGGTTGCCTCACCTGGGTGAAGGCTGCCTGTGTGAGGGGGCGGGCGGCCCGAGCGTGCCGTGGGCTCGGGGAGTGGTCAGAGTAGGCCGAGTCCTCCCTACATTTCGCCATGAGTTTCCTTATAGACTCCAGCATCATGATTACCTCCCAGGTGAGTCACCGCTTCCCTTTACAGACTTGCCCTCTCGGGGCCTCAGCGATGCGGACTGGCGCGGGGTCTCCCTCTCCTCTCGCGCAGCCCGCGCCCGCCCCACTGGACCCGAGAGTGCGGGGAGCGTGTGGGATTTGCTGCATTCGGTTCCCTCCGCCCTGGTAGTCAGGAGGCTGGCCTGCGGCCGTCAGCGCCGCAAGCCGGCATCCATCCCCAGACATTCGGATCCACTTTTGGAAGGGGTCAGCTGGCCTCAACGCTTAGAGCCGGTGCCCCGAGAAGGGAGCCGTCTTCAGAGCACCCCGGAGCTTCCGGACTGCGCAGCTGACCCGTGGACTGGGAAGAGTGTGGTTCCGGGCTTGTGTGCGGCGCGCCAATCAGGGCTGGTTACTGGGGACACGTGTGGGTTTTGTTGTTAGTTGTCAAATCCTGAATCTGGGTGTGGAGGTATTTGCTGCTTCAAAGCATAAGGTTATACTTCAAAGTATAACATTTCGGTCGTGCACTAACACCCCATACTTTATCATCTGCTTGCTACCTACCCTTTTCGGATCTTTTTCTGACCTTCGTTTCTTCTCTATTGGCCACCTTCATTCATTTGTACAGTCGAGAAACGTTTATCGACCATTATACGAAGCTGTGAGGGTACAAACATATATAAGACACTGACTGTCCCTGCTTTCTAAAGGCTTCGTCTAGAGAGCCTCTTGCTTTTACCATGTCATTCGTTACTCTATTTTTTTTTTTGCCTTTATCGAAGCACTGATGTCATTTATGTATTTGTTTACGAATTTGTTTCTGAGATCCTGTTCTTAGATCTTGTTACGATCTTGTTCATAGCTATATCCCTACCCTCAAGTGCAAGTATTCAATAAATAATTGTTGGCCAACTGTTAATATTTTTAGAAGCTCAGACTACCTAATTATTGGCCTTTCTCCCCTCATCTTTCCAATAATTTAGTTTTTTTCTTGTCCTTTCTTTCAAATGTCAAATAACATAAACAATTCCCTTTTGGGGCTTAAAGTAAACTAAATCATTGCTCCTTGATCTAGTTTTTGTATTGCTCCATCCTAATGCTTCTGTCTGCAGAGCACTGTCCTTTCGAAAAACTTTTATTGAAACATTTAAGAAAATATGCAACAGGGAAAAGCTATCCATAATCCTACCACTCTAATACAGTAACTTTTTTATTTTTTTAATTTACCACATTTTACATGGTTTTTAATGTATAGTTTTATTTTTATTGGCTGCATAGTATTCAAATGTATCAATGTACAAAAATCTATACAAACAACTCTCCTACTTAAAACCTAAGGCTTGGCCGGGCGCGGTGGCTCACGCCTGTAATCCTAGCTCTCTGGGAGGCCGAGCCGGGCGGATCGTTTGAGTTCAGGAGTTCGAAACCAACCTGAGCAAGAGTGAGACCCCGTCTCTACTATAAATAGAAAGAAATTAATTGGCCAACTAATATATACAGAAAAAATTTAGCCGGGCATGGTGGCACATGCCTGTAGTCCCAGCTACTCGGGAGGCTGAGGCAGTAGGATTGCTTGAGCCCAGGAGTTTGAGGCAGGAGTTTGAGGTTGCTGTGAGCTAGGCTGATGCCATGGCACTCACTCTAGCCTGGGCAACAAAGCGAGACTCTGTCTCGAAAAAAAAAAAAAAAACCTAAGGCTTCCTATTGCCCTTGGTGACAGTTCAGGGTTATTTTTAGCGCTAGTATCAGGTCAAGAAAAACAGCAATAATTAAATAGCATTCTTTTCTCTCAGAATAAAGATAAGAATGTCAGTAGAAAACTAAATTGGCATTGCATTGCAGCTCTAAGATTTTTTTTTTTTTTTTTTTTTTTTTGGAGACAGAGTCTCGCTTTGTTGCCCAGGCTAGAGTGAGTGCCGTGGCGTCAGCCTAGCTCACAGCAACCTCAAACTCCTGGGCTCGAGTGATCCTTCTGCCTCAGCCTCCCGGGTAGCTGGGACTACAGGCATGCGCCACCATGCCCGGCTAATTTTTTATATATATATCAGTTGGCCAATTAATTTCTTTCTATTTATAGTAGAGACGGGGTCTCGCTCTTGCTCAGGCTGGTTTCAAACTCCTGACCTTGAGCAATCCGCCCGCCTCGGCCTCCCAAGAGCTAGGATTACAGGCGTGAGCCACAGCGCCCGGCCAGCTCTAAGATTTTTAACATCAATATAATTGATACGGTATTGAACCAAGAAAGTGGTTTTCTAATCTTTTATGCCTTACAATCATATACTTCATCTTTCATACATGCATTCACATGCAAGGTTAAATTTAATTGTTAAACCTACTCTTTACAAATGGGGAAGTAAGACTCAATCTTTGCATGGAATGTTCTCTTCAAATATATATGTCACTACTTTATCATGATTAAGGTATTTAGTAAAAATGTCATTTCAGGGAGACTTTACCTGAATCCCTACCCCCAGCCATTGCAGCCTTCCATTCTGGCTGTCTTCTTTCTCATTTCCCTATTTTATTTTATTCTTAGTATTTGTCACTAACATTTCTTTGTGTGTTTATTATCTATAGACTCCATGAAGTCCAAGATACTATCTTTCTTGTTCTCTCCTGTGTTCTCCAGCATCTAGATCAATTGCTGGCATATAGTAGAGGCCTAGCAAATACTTATTTAATAAAAAGCACCTCTCTAGAGAGGTGTGGTTACCTTGGAAGCAACACCTTCACCCTGCCCCCATTTTTCCTGTTTTATATGAACTGAAAGGTTTATTTGCAATGAAATCTTAAATTAGAGGTCACGTATTGAAGCTTGCTCACCATGCCACAGGGTGAAGTTCAAACTCCTCGATACAGCTCATAGGGTCTCTTATGTGCTTGCTTTTGTCTCTTCAGCCTTGGCTCTCACCATTTCCTCACTTCATTTTAGACTTCCTAAGCTGCTTTTATTTTCTTAACCTGGCCATGCTAGATTTCCACACAGTCTGTTCTCTCTTTCTGGACATTTTCCCCATATCCCTCCCCTTCTTTCTTCTGGCTAATTCCTATTCAGCCTTCACATCTCAACTTGAATATCCAAGAAGCCCTCCCCAGACTGGACCAGATGACCCTATACATGCTGTCATAATACCCTTCACCCACTACCTTATAGCAACACTACCACATTGTTTTGTAATTACTTGTGTATCTCCTTCATAGATTATAAACTCTTTGAGAGCAGCACCCATGCTCTCTTGTTTACCATTCTATCCCTAGAACATAGCACATTATTAGGTACAAATAAATATTTGTTAAATGAATAAAAGGGTTAATAAATGATCCAAGAAAGATGTCTTTTCCTGTTCTTTAATAACTATCCTGCTGATGGCCATCTTTTTTTTTTTTTTAATCTGTAGCTAATTTTCAACCTAGAGGTCATTTTTATAAAAGCAGCTTTTATCTAACTCATATCATGTTTTTAGCCCTCTGTGCAGTTTTAAGACTTAATCAGTTCCAGAGTACACTCTAAGTCCCAAGGTCAAGGCTCTACTCTGTACAGTTTAAAGGTATTCTCTTTTTTGAATAAGAAACTCTGCACCTTCCATTTTATTTGCAAAGCTGTTTGAAATTTCTTTTTCCTTCTGCATCCTTTTTCAATCCTCTATAATCTTGCCAGAATTCATATTTCTCTTGGGCGTAATAAATTTTCCAGCTGCTTTTGTGTGTGTGTGTGTGTGTGTGTGTGTGTGTGTGTGTGTCTAAAAGTCTTTTCAAGCTTTCTTTGTCAATCTGAAAGGAGGTCATAATGAAATATTACATATATATGTCTACTCCTTTCTTCCATTCTCCATCTAGTCAAATAAACTTATAATTTTGCTTGTTTTCCTTGTCTAAAGTCCAATTTCACAGTGATCTTGATGATTTTTTTTTTTTTTAAATCAGCCATCTCCACTATACACACCACTCTCAGTCCCCATTGCCCAACTTCTCCACTTTCAGTAATGGCTTCATAAGTCATATAAATATGGACTCTAAATTCTACATTTAAATCTTTCTCCACTGATAATTATTTATAATAGCCGAAGTGTTTCCTGGATAGTCTAGGGATATTTTCTCCTAATCTATTTGCCCCTTTCCTTTTCTACTTGATCTGTTTTCATAGTTTTACCTTACTTTCTCATACCCTCTTGTTCTTTTACCTACATATAAAAACCTACACTTAGGGGGAAATGGGCATTTATTGAAACCTTAAAATCTGTACCCCCATAATATGCCAAAATAAAAAAAATAATTAAAAAAAAAAAAAAACCTACACTTAGATCACACTTGTCTACTACTAATACAGGGGCCTGAAGGCTGCTGTAGAAAATCACACAGCTTGGCCAGGTGCAGTGGCTCATGCCTATAACCCCAACACTTTGGGAAATTGATGCAGGAGGATTGCTTGGGGCCAAGAGTTTGAGACCAGCCTGAGCAACATAGTGAGACCCTGTCTCTGCAAAAAAAAAAAAAAATTTAATTGCTTAAAAAAAGAAAATCACACAGCTGTCTCTTAATAGTTCACCAGTGCCCTCATCTCTTTGAATCATTCTTTTTCTTGATTTTAATTAGCTACTTGCTCCATTCCCCTCATAATTTCTCTGAGTCTTTCTTACCTTCCTCAAAGCTGCCTTTTTGGTGCTTACCTCTCTTATTCTTAGCAGATGATCTTGCCTCCTACTTAATCAACAAAAGTGAGGCTGAACAGTGTGAGTTCTTTCTACTTCCTACATTTTAATTTAAGAGGTTATCTGAATCCACAACCATTTTTACCTCCTTCCCTCCCATGTCAGAAAATAGGCTGCCCCTTACTCCTGTTTAAGGCCATCCTCTCCACCTGTGCCTTTGATCTTGGAGTAGCTTATTTTGAAGTGGTTAAAAGCACAGGTTTTGGAGGCAGTCACACGGGCTTCAGGTTGAATCCTGATTCTGACACTCACTATAAATTGATTAACTTCTCTAAACCTCAGCTTTCTCTGTGAAAATAGGGCAAGAAAACCTACCTTATTGGGTTTTTATGATTTTATGAGATTATAATGCCAAGTAATACTTAGCCTAGAATATAGTAAATGGTCAATAAAAGTTAGCTAATAATAATCAATTAATAATGACATCAGCTCATCCTCTAGTATTCCATCAGTTCCTTCTCATCTTTGTTTATCTTCTCACTCTACTACTTTCTTCCCTTTGGCCTACAAACATTCCCTTTACCCCCATTCTTCTCTAGGTTATTATCCACTGTTTTCTCTTTCTCATTCTTGGCTTTCCCTAGTGTAATTTGCATTTATTGTCTCCACTGCTTTACCTCCCATTCATCCCCTCACCAGGACCCACTACAGTCTGGTTCCTACCTCTGCCTCACTACTCAAACTGTTTTCCTTAAGGTCACTGCTGACCTGCAAGTTACCAAATCCTTTGAACATTTTTCAGTTCTTGTGTTATTATCCCTTTCTACCTCATTTAATCCTCCTTTAAACCCTATTCTTATAGTTTCAGGACACCACACTCTGTTGTTTCTATTATTTCTCTGACCATTCCTTCTTTGTCTCCTTCCTGGTCTTATCTTCCTATTCCTACTATCTAGTCTTCTTGGCACATTGCTCTCCTCACTCTACATGCTATTCTTTGGTGAGCTCATGTACTTTGGTGGTTTCAACTATGAGGTGTGTCTGAGTCTTGCCTTCATGATCTGTCTTTTATTCAACTGCTTGCTGAATATCTTAACCCATCTTTCTGGATTGCCCTCAGGCCCTTAGCATGTTTAAAAATGGGAGGCTGGGGCAGGAGGATTGATTGAACTCAGGAGTTCAAGAGCAGCAAAAATGAGACCCTGTCTCTACTAAAAGTGAGCAAAAGTGAGACCCCGTCTCTACTAAAAATAGAAAAATTACCCGGGCATAGTGGCGCATGACTATAGTCCCAGCTACTTTGGAGAATGAGGCAGGAGGGTCATTTGAGCCCACAAATTTGAGGTTTCAGTAAGCTATGATGATTCCACAGTACTCTAGCCTGGGTGACAGAGCAAGACTCTGTCTCAAAAAAACAACTAAAAAAATAAAAATGAACTCATCAGCTTCCCCAACCTCCACCCTCATTCCCAAACCAATTCTTCCTCCAATATTCTTTATATAAATTGGGTAGCCTCACTCTTCATCCTGTATCCCAGACTAGTCATCCTTAACTCCTCCCTACTGATTATATCTTCTAAAAAGTTCTCAAATCTGTTGCCTTCTCTTCTGTCTCCAGTCTTCTGTCTTAATTCAGGCCTTTATCATATCTCATCTGGACTCCTGCAACAAATTCTTACAATGTTTCTCTAACTACGGTGTTGTTTTCTTCAAATGCATCTTCCACATAGCCACCATCCTGCTATATATAAAACAAATAAGGACATCTCATTTCCCTACTCAAATGACCCTCACCACTTACATACTATCATTAAAGCTCCTTAGTATGGCCTTCGGGGCTCTCAGTGATTGGTCCTCTGCTCCTCCTCTCTACCTTCATTTTTAACTACTTCCTGCTCTGAATTTTATCTTCCAGCAGCACGAAATGGTGTGTAGTTCCCAGCATATACCATGCTATTAACTCTGTGCCTTTACTTGTGCTCTTTGCTGTCTGGAAAGCCTTGTCCACCTACCCCCACCACCTCTGTCTTTTCCCTGCCTAAATCTTACGCATCTTTTGAGAGAGTGGTTTTTAATATTTTAGGGGTTGTGGAAAACTTTGGGTGCTGAATACCTTGGAACTTCTCTAGAAAAATCCACATAATCCCCAAATTTACATACAATGTCAGGTTTTAACCTCAAATTAAAAACCTCTTTCAGCTCAAGTATGATCTTCTCCAGAAAATCTGTCCTATCCTCCTAAAGATTGGTTTGGTCTCCCTGTTTCATATTGTTTTACAATATCATGTGCATATAACTATGATTACACATCTATATAACATTATAATCATTCCTGTAGTGTCTTCACCAGTATATTGTGAGCTCCTTGAAGGTAGTGACTATCATACACATCTTTGTATCCCCAGCACCTAGCACGGCACGTAGGAGTTATTACATAAATTTTGAGGTTGAATGTTGCTGAGGAACAAACCATCTTTTACTATAGAACATTTAGCCATTCGGCAAACATTTATGGAGAGCCTGCTGTGTGCCAGGTATTGTGCTGGTTGCTAAGGATACAAAATTAACAAGACAAACATGGTTCTTGTCCTCACAGAGCTTATAATCTAATGTCTTAAAAAATATTTAAATCAGACATTACAAAACTGTATGGTAAGGCGGGGCGCGGTGGCTCACACCTGTAATCCTAGCACTCGGGAGGCCGAGGCCGGCGGATTGCTCGAGGTCAGGAGTTCGAAACCAACCTGAGCAAGAGCGAGACCCCGTCTCTACTGAAAATAGAAAAATTAGCCGGGTGTGGTGCCATGTGCCTGTAGTCCCAGCTACTTGGGAGGCTGAGGCAGGAGGGTCGCTCAAGCCCAGGAGTTTGAGGTTGCAGTGAGCTATGATGAAGCCACTGCACTCCCACCTGGGTGACAGAACAGACCCTGTCTCAGGAAAAAAAATAAATAAATAAAGTTTACACTTGTATCCCCAGTGAAGGAATCATAGGAAGGGAAGGCATAAAAAATTTTTATTCATTTAAAAAGTTCACAGCCAATATAAGAAGAAAAGAGTTGTGTCAGAGTGTGTGTGTATATGCGTAGAAGGTTCTATTTACTAGTGGAGAACAAACCAGCTTTGTCAGCTGTCATGTGGCTACTGTCTCTGATGCCAGTGTGAAACAAAACTGACAAAAGAGGGATCCTGCAATCTTTTGGCTTTACACTGAGATGGAAACCACTTTGTATAGATTAGGCAGGACGGTGGAGAAGCTAAGAAAACTATCTGAAGGAATCTCATATAAAAAATATTAGGCTTTCTACTATTCCCATATTTTTTGTCTCAACTACTCCTCCTTTCCTCTGAAGATTTTATTTGTTTTTTAAATACTTACAAACAGGGGTTATCTATAAGAAACAAGTCACACTGACTCCTTTTCTGTTTGCTAACTTCTCTGGCTCATAAAATGATTATCATAAGATTATGGGAAAATATATACTCCCATTTCTGTCTAACTTAAAACATGTTCTATAGCATGGAACATCAAAGCTCTAAGAGCATTTAAACATCTACTTCCAATGTTAGGAGCTTTAATAAGTAGATCTTATAAGAATGCATCTCACCTTTAATATCTAAAATAAGTTAACTGCTTAGCAGACCTTTTATCATAAAATAGGTCTCTGTAAGACACTTCTTAAAAAGAAATGTATATAGACATTTTATCTTCTTTCTCCTCCAGATACTATTTTTTGGATTTGGGTGGCTTTTCTTCATGCGCCAACTGTTTAAGGACTACGAGGTGAGAAGAAATCATTGTGTAATGCTTATACTATATGAATTTAGGTTGTTTTAAAATGGGACAAGAAAAATGTGTCCATTAAAGACCATTCTTGTTTACTTCCAGGGTAGGAAGCTTTTGCCAAATAAGTGTCATATAACTATTAATTTGGAGAATATGATTAGGCTTAGTTGATTTAAAAGAGAAAGAACAAGGCAAATCACATATAGCCCAGAAGCAAGGAGCAAGGAATTTCATGCCTTAGGTATATCAGGATATATACCAATAGCAGATAGTTACTCTTTGAGAGAGAATTTAATTTATGACATCTTATAAATGTTCCCTTTCATTTGTCTGTCTAGCCCTGAATTAGCAAACATTCTAAATTAATAACAAAATCCCAAGGTTGGTCCGGTTCTTATCTTAAGCCTTAAATTCAGAAAATCACCATCCTAGACTGGACATTCCCTAATTAATTTTACTCATTTAGTAATAAATCTCTATTAATAAATCTCTATTAGGGACTACCATTAAGTCATTCCTAGGATGTTCTTCTAAACCTCCCCAGAAAATTTAGGTCATTGCCTGAAAGAGTCCAGGATTCCAGAGTTTCTATTGTGCTCAATACTTTAAGGCCTCCCAAGAGAGGTTCAAGAACTGTCCAGGATCTGTAAAGTGTTGAAGAGCCACTTTTAACATTGATCATTATATACAAATCTGTCCTTTTTTTGTCATTATACATCAGGAATTCTAAGTACCACTTCTGACCCTCTTAGTTCATGTTCTTGTGCTTTAAATTCTCCATCCACTAGAGGATGTTAGTAATAGTGACTCAGGATTCAGAAATGCTACCTACTTTGATTTATTTCTCTAGCTCCAGGCAAGTTGCAATTGCAGCCTATTTCCAATGGCTTGAGAATTGCTTCAAAATAAGTTTTCTGCTTTGTAACCAGAAGGAGATTATCAATTCAATTTTCAAACAAGGAAATAACTTCTAGTCTCTATTTGGCTTCTAACAGGTGCGTCAGTATGTTGTACAGGTGATCTTCTCTGTGACTTTTGGGTTTTCTTGTACCATGTTTGAGCTCATCATCTTTGAAATCTTAGGAGTATTGAATAGCAGGTGAGTAAGAGTACTAAATAACTTTCTTCTTGAAGAGTTCTGTGCTACATTCTTTATGGTGGAAGAGTTACCAGGGTCTCATAGCTGGAAAATCCACCATATGGATAGTTTCATCTTAGTAACTGCAATAATTACAGCAAATATGGGTTCCAGTCACCTAGTGAGTAGTTTGGCAAAAATTATGAAGTACTAGGGAAAAAAAATCTAACCATTAGCTCTGAAGAACCCATTGAGAAAGGCTGTAGAGCCTAGGTCCCAGGCTTCACTGCTACATGCTTTATTTTTCTCAGGCTGCTCTCTGAGTGAATCCCAGTAATGGCCCTTTACATTCTTTTACTGACTGAAAATCTCTACCTGAAAAGATCAGAATTCCACAGAACTCTTTAAGAACCTCTCTGGAGACTGAACTCTGGTTTTTACCAATTTAGTTACCGTTATTGATTTTACAGACATGGTCAAGTTTGATTGAATTTAGAGTGTTTTTTAAAACATTTTGAAAAAGTAACTATTCCCCTCCAAATAACAGATCTGTTAGTTTATTAGACAGTTTATCCAAAATGTTTCTTCTTTGTTAAACTGCAAGCTTGAGTATTTTTTAGGCCAGCATTTGTATGTGGAGTTCATCAGCTATGCTATATAGACTTTTATTGTACTTTTTTATCACCACATGAAAGAATCTTTTAAGAAAAAAGTGGCCTTGTACTCTAGTTAGGAATCAGTGCTGAGCTAAGCTATACAAGCTCATTATAGACCTCTGACACTTGGGACTTACAGAGAAACTGTACTCTCAAATCCTTTTCTGAGAATCAGAGTTGAAAAAAAAAATTTTAATTAAAAAAAACTTATAATAGAGGTGGTTAGTCATAAAATATTTGAAATGTTAAAAAAAGAGACTCAGTTGATAATTATGATCTCTTGATAGATCATTTAATAACATGTGATATGGTAAATAGGAATATGCTCTGACTCTCCTACTTTTAAACTTGTTCTTTAATAATAGACTTTTTTTAGATGAGCTAGATATAGATCCTGTGCCTATAGAGAATTGACAAGTATTGTTTTACATAATGGTTATTAAATTTCATTATCACAACCTAGATCTTTCACTGCTATCTAAGCAGAGGTTGGCAAACTTTTTTCTGTAAAGGGCCAGATTGTAAATATTTTAGGCTTTGTGGCTATAGGGTTTCTATCACAACTACTCAACTCTGCTGTTGTAGAGTGAAAGCAACCATAGGCAATATGTAAACAAATGGGCATGGCTTTGCTCAATAAAACTTAATTTGTAAAAATAGGTGGCTGCCAGGCCATAATTTGCTGACCACTGATATAAATATTGCTAGAAAGACTGTGGTTCAGATAGTCTAAAACCACAATTGTTTTTGGTAGATGATGTTCCCCAACTTTTAACTCATAATTAATAACCCATATAGTAAGAAACAGTCATACTTGGTACATATTTCTTAAATATCTTAAATAATTTAAAGAGTTTCAGAAGTAGCATTGCTAAAATTTGGTGTTCTTTCGGTGGTTTTTTGAGGATTGGGTTTGTTTAGATGAGATATGTCTTCAGTTACACCTATTTTTTCATACTAACATTTCACTCAACTGTGGAACAGAAATGTCAACCCGATCATGTATTATATCTGTAGATTCAGAACAGTTTTTAAAAGAAAATTTTGGCCCTGATGAAAAGTATTCCTTTGACTAACCTCTGAGCAGGGGTTGTATGGCCTCCTTATTAGGATCCTTAATTTTTCCAAGAGAATGCCACTCAGCTCAAAAGACTGGTTAAAATACATGGTTCACTTCTAATTGGCAGTATGGATCATACTTGTAATTACACTTATCATTTCACACCTTAGCTGAAATACTATATAGTATTACCTGGAGGATGTGCAGCTCATTTGCTTCCCTAGATGTTCTAAAGTGAGCTAATGCAGAAGAGCAAAAGGCTGTCAATATATCTAGACTAAATGGTATTGGTTCCTTTTGGGTCACCTTTACTGAAGCGCTCTTCTTTGTTTTATGTTGCCTGCCTTCTGCACTAAGAAGAGAGCAGTTGGAAAAAGCCCTCTGAAAACTCATTGATATTTTTCTTTGAAAATATGTTGTTGAAAACATTGTTAATTGCCCTCCTCACATTTTCTTCTTTATGAAGTCTTTGAAGAAATTTCATTGTAATCTTGATAATAATTCAGTAATAACAAATCAGTAAGTATGCTTCCTTTGAGCAATTGGTTTGTTGTTTTCCTACAGACACTGTGACTTTATCTAACTGATCAAATTTTTTATTTCTCATTGACCATTAGAAAACTTAAAGCTAAATTTATGATCTACTCATAGCAAGTTTTTAGAATTTTTTTTTTAATATCACCAAGACTGGAGTTCAGTGATACAATAATAGCTCCCTGCAACCTCCAGCCCTGGACTCAACCAGTCCTCCCAGCTCAGCCTCCCGAGTAGTTGAGACTACAGGTACCATCATGCCCAGCTATTATAATTTTTTTCTTATCTTTTGTGGAGATGAGGTTTCAATACATTGGCCAGGCTGGTCTCGAACTCCTGGGCTCACTCAAGTGATCCTACGACCTCAGCCTCCTAAAGCTCTAGGATTATAGGTGTGATCCACCACACCCAGCCCAGAGTTCTATGTTATATCCATCAGACCTATTTCAATTTTTTTTTTAAGAGACAGGGTCTTGCTCTATCACCCAGGCTGGACTACAGTGGCTCAATTATAGTTCACTGCAGCCTTGAACTCCTGGGCTCAAGCAATACTCCTGCCTCAGCCTCCAGGGTAATGGGGACCACAGATGTATGCCACCACATCCAGCTTTTTTTTTTTTTAATTTTTTGTAGAGATGAAGTCATGCTATGTTGCCCAGGCTGGTCTCAAACTCCTGGACTCAAGCAATCCTACTGAGATTACAGGCATAAGCCACCGTACCCAGCTCTGTTCCAATATTTTACCTATCTATTGTTCCTTTTTTTCATATTTCCTTATAGTTTATTTCATCGTCCTGTATTTTATATATCCTCATAAGCACTTAACCACTTATGCCCTTTTTGAAACAAGGCCTAAGAAAGTTAAAAATCAGTAAATACAGAGGACACTATCAAGAAAGTGAACAAACATCCTAAGAATGGGGAAAAGTTTTTGCACATTATCTATCTGAGAAGAGATTTGTGTCTAGAATAGATAAAGAACTCTTAAGGTCAATAATAAAAAGATAGATAATACAATTAAAAATGGACAAAGGCTCTGATTTTGGCATTTCTCCAAGATGATATACAATGGCCAACAAGCACCTGAAAAGGTGTTCAATATCATTAGTCATCATGGAAATGCAAATCAAAACTACAATGAGATGCCACCTCACACCCACTAGGATGGCTGTAACCAAAATGACAGACAATAATGAGGATGAGGAGAAATTGGAGCCCTCGTACACTACTGGAGAAAATGTACAATGATGCAGCCACATTGGGAAGTAGTGGCAGTGCCTCAAAGATTAAATGTAGTAGATTTGCCATACGACCCTGCAATTCCACTCTATTTTTACCTAAATAAAAATGAAAACATAGCTTGTCCAAGCCAAAACTTGTACACAGATATTCGTAGCATTGCTATTTATATTAATAATAGCTAAAAGGTAAAACAACCCAAATGTCTATCAGCTAATGAATGGATAAGCAAAATGCGGTATATCCATACAATGGGATGAATATTGTTTAGCTATAAAAAGGAAGGAATTGTTGCTAGACACTACAACATGAATGAACATTATAATGCTAAGTGAAAAAAGCCAGTCACAAAAGATCACATATTGTATGATTACATTTATATGAAATGTCCAGAATAGGCAAATCCATAGAAACAGAAAATAAATTGGTGGTTTCCTAGGGCAAGGGAGGTTGGGGGGAAATGGAAAGTGACTGCTAATGGGTACAGGGTTTCTTTATGGAATAATGAAAATGTTCTAAAATTGTGGTGGGTTGCACAATCCTATGAATATACTAAAAACCATTGAATTGTATATTTCAAGTGAGTGAATTATATTATTAAACCTCTTAGAAAAAGTACTAAAATTTTTAATTAAATTCATTTTATAAACAGTTATAAATATAGTCATGCAAATCATAATGTTTAATTATATCAAGGGTACAAAGAAGTATTTCTGAGTCTTTATAGCATATTTTACTGTTAACATTTATTTTCCTTTAATTCTCATATTAAAGGAAAGAGTGCTAGTGGTGAGTGAAATGATAGTCATTCTACACCAGTAATGGTATGTGTTGATATATGTTATGAATGCCTCTGAATATATCTAAAGCATTAACATTCTTATTTTAATAAGTGAAAGTCTTAGGAGGTTAAGATGGTCATATATACCTTTCAAAAATTTATAATTGTTCAACCTTATCAAAAAATTATAATTTTTAATCTCTACAAATGAGTAGATTATAACAGCCTAATGGACTAATTAGATGAGATATATTCAGTGTGGAGTTCAAGGAGCAAGAGATCCCTTGGAAAACTAAAGAGAAGGAAAGTTGTTCCTGTCTCTCTCCAGTGATATTTTTTGACATTTATTTCAGCTCCCGTTATTTTCACTGGAAAATGAATCTGTGTGTAATTCTGCTGATCCTGGTTTTCATGGTGCCTTTTTACATTGGCTATTTTGTCGTGAGCAACATCCAACTATGTAAGTATTTTACCTTCTCATATCAGCACATAGATGGAGTTGAGTATTTTGGGGGACTGAGGTTGTGGACAGCATCATTTCTACATTAACTTTCAGTAGCTACTGCTATTGGAGACACATAGCATCTTAAAAAAGGTTGGCACAAAATCAATATTGAATGAAAGATTAGGTTATTTTTCCTGCTACCACTTTATTTCTGTTTTTACTTACTAATAATGTCTCCTTTAGCTCAACCCACATCTTAATTTCAGCCAAATTACTCTTACAGGGTGAGGATGATTTCACTAAGAATTATATTGTTCCCTCACTCATTTGTCAATTAAACAGCAAACAAATATTAATTAATATGATCTCATATTTTTAAGTCAAGCAAGATCTTTAACATATATTTATTTTCCCTAACAGTCTTGTCTCCTCTGTCTTAGTGCATAAACAGCGACTGGTTTTTTCCTGTCTCTTATGGTTGACCTTTATGTATTTCTTCTGGAAACTAGGAGATCCATTTCCCATTCTCAGCCCAAAACATGGTGAGTGTTTATGGGAGAGCAGGGGGTGAGGAGAAGAAGATATGTTTAATTTTCTAATTTGAAAAAAATAATTTTTTTAAGCTGCTGATTATGGCAAGTTATTTCTTTAAATACATTTCTGGCCGGGCGCGGAGGCTCATGCCTGTAATCCTAGCACTCTGGGAGGCCAAGGCGGGCGGATTGCTCAAGGTCAGGAGTTCAAAACCAGCCTGAGCGAGACCCCGTCTCTACCATAAAAATAGAAAGAAATTAATTGGCCAACTAATATATATAATATAAAAATCAGCCAGGCATGGTGGCTCGTGCCTGTAGTCCCAGCTACTCGGGAGGCTGAGGCAGGAGGATTGCTTGAGCCCAGGAGTTTGAGGTTGCTGTGAGCTAGGCTGACGCCACGGCACTCACTCTAGCCTAGGCAAGAAAGCGAGACTCTGTCTCAAAAAAAAAAAAAAAATACATTTCTGATTTTGAACCAAATATTCTCCTTCATTCTAAGTGGTATTTAATGCTGGTTTTAGAACAGACTTCTATCATTCTAGAGTAGGAGTTTTTGACCTTGGTGAATATACATACTTCAAGAATGTAAGGAAAAGAGGAAAGTGTCCTTAACTTAAATCTCTTGATATTGTATACAGAATTATGGTAATTATTTGTATGTGTATTTGAAGGTAAAGTATCAATAAGCTTTTAGCAGATTCTAAGCTAAAAACAATGAACAAAAATCCCTCAGTTCACAAATCCTTCCAGAACTATTTCAGAATTATTAATATATGTGTATCTATCTAAAAAGATTAGATAATGAGCCCACCTGTAATATACTAGAGCTTTTATACTGTAGCTTTAAAAAAAAGTCTATTCACTATCCTGCTGTATCTATCAGGGTTCTTACCCCAGAAAACAGAATCTACTGTAACTACTTTAAAGAAAAAAGTGATTTATTACAGGGTATTCAGCAATTTATAGACTTTCTAGGAAAGCAAGAACACCAAGCTTAAATGCTACATAGTGAAGAGAAATACCCAACTATGCCACAGTAAACTAGAAAAAAACCCACTGAAGCCATCGCCTGCCATACAGGACCTGTGACATCAGAGACCCAACAGTAGTACTTCTATCCCAGCTACTCCAGCTCCTAACTACTGTCGCCACCCCTACATTGTTCACTTATGTATTTGAGGCCTCTCATAGGCCTGAGTTTTTGGTGAAACCTCAATGACATTCAGAACCATAGCTTCAAGGAAGTTTGAGAAAGAGCTTCTGGCTTTCCAGACCCTGTAGTACTAAAAGAAATGCTGGAAAAGGATTGGAATGAATGTTGAATGAGCCAGTATCTAGGACCTGCCATACCTCCCACGCATCGTTCCATGTGTACTCATTGCCTATAGCAAGGGTTTGGGGCAGAGAGAGGTAATGAGACTTTCCTGTAGTAGGGTCAGAGGAAAAGTGCAGTTTTATAAAACATATGTGACATCATAAATAACTGTATGTATTTTAAAAATAAAAAAAGCATTTTCAAAATTTCAAATAATATTAAAGATCAAAAAGTTAAGATAACACCAGCCTATTAAAAACATTTAAACTCTTAGCATGGCATATAAGACCTTCCATTGCCTGGCTACTGCTCTGTTTGTGTGTTCTGTTCTTCAGTCCTACCAAATTACTTGAAGTTTCTAGAGCTGTTCCATCAGCCTGGGCAATCCTTCACCCCAGTCTACCTGGAAAATGCCTATTTATTTATTCTTTCAAGATTAAACTCTTGTCAATTCCTCTAAGAAAATTTTCCTGGCCATCATTAGGAGATATTTGCTCCCACCTCAATGTACTTACATCACCTATAAAAACTTACAATTACATGTTTCCTTTTCTGACTTCCTCATTAACCTATGGGCTTTATGAGGTCAGAGACTACGTCTTATTTGTCTTTATATCCCTAATACCTAGTGTGGAACCTAGCACATAACAAGTGTTTAGTATATGTTTATTGATTCTGAAGAATAGAAAAAAATTTAATCTCTCCAAGGTGGTAGATGAGTTCAAGAATATGACACTCTCTATAGGAATTTAGAATTGCTAGTATGATCAGTATGCCCATGTCAGTGTCAGGAAAGATTTGAAGTAGAAAACCCTGATAATATAGCTCTTGTATAAACCTATTTCAAATAAGCCCACAAAGAGATGAATTTATTTGTAACATTAGAAGTCAGGAAGAAGAGTTACAAAAGGCCCCAGGCTGCTGACAGTGCAAGCACAAGTTCACATGCAGTCCAAAGACCTGACTCTGACACCTTTCTCCAGCTTTCTCTTCTGTGTACTCAGCTCACATGACCAGTGCAGCCAGGCCATGCCAGAGGGGGAGATGAAGACCATCATATCTGTTACACCCTTCATTCACCCCTTTTTCTAAATTCTATGGGATTATCCTGAAAAGGACACGGGGGAAAGCTAGAGGGAGCCAGGGTGGGGAACCTGTGGCCTTCTGATTTCAAGATAGTTCTTTTTTTTTTTTTTGAGACAGAGTCTTGCTTTGTTTCCCAGGCTAGAGTGAGTGCTGTGGCGTCAGCCTCGCTCACAGCAACCTCAAACTCCTGGGCTCAAGCGATCCTCCTGCCTCAGCCTCCCGAGTAGCTGGGACTACAGGCATGCACCACCATGCCCAGCTAATTTTATATATATATTAGTTGGCCAATTAATTTCTTTCTATTTTTATAGTAGAGACAGGGTCTTGCTCAGGCTGGTTTTGAACTCCTGACCTCGAGCAATCCGCCCGCCTCGGCCTCCCAGAGTGCTAGGATTATAAGCGTGAGCCACCACGCCCGGCCAAGATAGTTCTTTTTTAAGCACCAATGGAGGCAAGAAAAGCTTCATCTTTCTCTGCTGCACCCCTTTTAATAAAAGGATTTGTTCTGTAAAATTTGGATTCAGTCAAAAGGCCACACTTAAGGACCTAGAAGGCCACATGTGGCCTTAAGGCTGCGGGTTCTCCACCCCTACTCGAGCTTTCCCAGGACTATCTCAACAACCAGTATAGTTTATTGCTATGGAAACTACAAAAAACTGTAAGACCCAGCAAGACCTTTTCTTTACAAAAACTTTAGAGGGGATGCATGCCTGTAGTCCAGACTACTCAGGAGAATGAGGCAGAATTGCTTGAGCCTACGAGTTCAAGGCTGCAGTGAACTGTGATTGAACCACTGCACTCCAGCCTGGGCAACAGAGCAAGATCCTTTCTCTAAAAACAAACAAACTATAAGACTCAATCATTACCTGTAATGAAAAAAAATCTGTGAAAGAATTTCTTGTGTGGTGCCTGGACATAGAAAAGTTAGACGACATTCTACAGTGGGAAAGAGTATGAGAGACTAAGAAAGCATATATGGCTAGAAGGAATCTGTGTAAGCAAATGGCAAAGATGAGATAATCTGCTAGTCACCTTATTCATCTTACTTTCTATGTATTAACTGATAACCAGAGATAATAATGACTAACTCTTACTTCATACAAGTGCTGAGATTAAGTAGATAGTATCTACAAATTACTTTAAACCAGAAAAAATATTTAATAAAAAGAGCACCATGTTAAAGGGAATAAAAATAGAGGGGGCATTTTTCAGTTTTTTATATTTAATCCATATTAATCCCTTGGGTTTTTTTTATGTTATTGAGTAACATTATGTACCCACAGTCAACAAACATTTGTTAAACACTTTCTATGTGCCAGGCAGTAAGGAAAGCAAAGACCAATAAGACATGATTCCTTCCTGTAAAGAAGATGCAAATTCAAGAGGTATGTGGAAAGTAGAATCAACAGAATTTTGGTGAGGATTTATTCATTCAGTTAACATTCCTCAGATATTTATTGAGCACCTATTTTATATTAAGTGCTAGAAATAAACCATGAACAAAACAAACTTGATTTCTTATAGTCTTATAAAACTTATAGTCTTATGGGTAGGACTAGACAATAAAGAGATAAATAATTACTGATTGTGATCATTGTCATCAAGAAGCAAACACATTGCTGGGGTAGAAAATATAGATACAGATAACAAATTACTTCAAGTAGTTAGATTCAGCCTTTCTGAGGAAGTGATATTAAAGCTGAGATTTAAAGACCAAAGGAAGAGCAGGGTGGAAGGCACAAGAAACATCATGCAAAGCCCTAAGGTAGAGAGACCTTAGTGTATTCAAAGAGGAAATAAAAGATGGAATGGAGACTAATTGTATAGTGTACAGATTTTTTATTTTGGTAACTAGTTGATAATGTCATTTTCTAAATAGGTACTGCAGAAGATGGAACAAGTTGAGGGGGAAGATACTTTCAGTTGGATATATTGAATTTGAGTTACCTTTGCACATCTAGATGATCAATAAGCAACTGGATATCCAAGTCAGGAGCTTAGGAGAAAGGAATGAATATATCAGTCCTCATGGAGGTGACTCCAGGAATCTAAAAAATTAGAAATCATTAACTAAATGCCATTAGATGAAGTAGGGCAATGGGTGAGCTCACCCAAGGAAAAATGTATAGCATGAAATGAAATAAAGAATTCTGGCCCATGCAGAACAAGAAGACACCAAGAAAAAGCAATTAGAAAAGTAAACGAGAAAACCTTAGGAAATAATGTTGTGAAAGCCAAGAAGGGAAAATAATTTTAGACAGAAAGCATTCAGTGTTGTAAAAGAGCCAATAAAACCAAGATTGGAAAATGCTGAATTTTGCAACCAACAAAGAATTCATGACCATAGTGTAGTAATGGTTAAGAGCCTAGGCTCTGGAGCTTCACTGGGTTTGAATCCCGGCTCTGCCATTTATTAGCTGTGTGGCCTTGACTAAGTTACTTAACTTCTCTATTTCCTCATCTCTAAAATTGAGTTTTCAATACCATCTACCTCATAGGCTTGTTTTAAGCAGTAAATGAGTTAGTGCATGTAAAATACTTAGAACAGTGCCTAATACATAAGAGGAGCTTGATGAATGTTACCTATTATATTGCCATTACAATTATTAGTGAAAGTAATTCTGTTGAGTATAGAAGAATGGGAAGATAGCTGGATTGCAGCCAGTTGAGGAATGAATTGGAGGCGAGAAAGAGGTAACAGTAAATGTCTTTCAAGAAATTTGGCTAATAAGGAGGAAATAGACAAGGATTGGTAACTAGAAGTAAACTCAAGGCCAAGAACAGAATTTTTCATAGAAAAGAGACTTGAAACTGAAGGGACAGAACTAGTAAAGAAGGAACTATTGAAATACAAGAGAGAAGGGACAAGTGATGGAACAAGATTCTGAAAGAGGTGGAAGGGATTGAATAAGATCAAAAACACAACCAGAGAAGTCAGCTTTGGACAATGTCTTGTTCTGAGGGAGACAAGTTGGGAGGATGATTGCAGATATAAATATTTATAGTACAGTGAAGGTAGTTTATGTCTAATACCTTATGTCTTTTTTAATAAGGGCATTGGCTAAGAAGAGGGCAAAGGTTGGGAAAATGGATAAAAGAATAGCTGCTGAGGGAAATGGAGAGAGAAGGAAAGATAGCTGACCAAGGGCAAGATAAGGATTACTCAGTAGTGTGTGAGCTCTGTTAAGACTGGAGACAGTAACTCTGTAATGGCACCAATATCAGTATATATTCTAGCAATTTTAGGCAGCTAAGCATAGGCACAGGGAAGGCAGAAAGTTAGACTGATCCAGAGTCAGGGTTTGTAGGATCAATATTTCAGAAGGAAAAGAGTAGGGGATTGAGGGTCCTGGTGAAAGAAGTTGAAGCCAACCAGCCTGGATTCCATGCTAGGTGAAGAAGCGGGGAAGCAAAAAACTAGAGGCCAGAGGTTGCACTAACCTCTAAAATGAGTGTAATAGAAATAAAGGATCAAGAGCACTTGAAGACTAGGAGGGGAGGACAGTGGTCAGAAATGGAATATTGAAATTTTCAGTTTCAAAGCTGATAGAATTCCTGAATTACGACTCTAGTATTTGGTCACAGGAATGAATGGCTAAAGTGAATTCTATCCTAGATTTTGGAAGTGAAAACAAATTAAAACTATTCTTTTCCTATGATGCCAAACTTCTTGGGTTATTCTTCAGCATGGCTCTCTCTCATTTATCCCAAATACATCAATCAGCAGGCAGCATTTATTTTAACTGCTGAGTTGATTTGCAGCATTCTCTAATGAGAGAGAACAACTGATAATTAGAATACAACTAATAATTTAAAACTCATGTGTTTACCTTTGAACTACTCATTCATCTATAAATTTAGCCCATTTGTTAGATCCATTATGTGTTTATTGGATACAAAAAAGGATAAGATATAAGCTAAAGAATATGATCTTAGGAGGAAATATGTATGTCAAAAGTCACTAGCACAAAGTGTTACCTGCTATTTATACTTTTCCAGCAGATTTACTTTCCTATTAATAATTTTTTTTTGCCAGAGTTTTACTAAAAGTACTTTGCTAGAGTTTATACTTCTGAGAATAAATAATCAATAAGTGTTATTAATATCTGTAATTATTGTTATTATTTTACTATTATCATAAGAGATGAACCTGAAGCATATGGGATAGGAGGAAAATTAATAGATTTTTAATATATTTATTATAGAAAATCTATACATTAATAATTAAAAGTTGGCTTATATGGCTTAGTTATATGTAATGGTTGATGTTTTCAATGATGTTTCTTTTTGCAGTACAGATGAGAACCATTTTACCTATATTATCTGGCATTAATATGCTTTGATGTTTTTAGGGATCTTATCCATAGAACAGCTTATCAGCCGAGTAGGCGTGATTGGGGTGACTCTCATGGCTCTCCTCTCTGGATTTGGTGCTGTCAACTGTCCATATACTTACATGTCCTACTTCCTCAGGTAACAAGCACTTTTTCTCTTTTCTTTTTTTTCTCATTACTTCTTGAATACATATGTCATATCATGCCACCATCTTTAATACTTATATATTAGGCTATAACTTTGCCTTTTTATTCTTCTCTTCCTCTGTCCCTGTGGGCATTGTCCTGGGAATATTTCTAAATAAGTCTTATCACTTGTATTGCTTGCTCTTGTTATTTATCCTACACACATTTGTTTTTTAAATGGCAATTTCAATTTGACACCTCCCTTCCACTTTTTAAAGACACATTTCTATTGCCAGGTGTAAACTAACACCAACTTCAGCAAATCAGTTCCTCCTTGAAATGGAACAGTAGAAGACAATGCTAAGTTAAAAGTATTTAAACATACATCCTAGGCCGGGCGCTGTGGCTCACGCCTGTAATCCTAGCTCTTGGGAGGCCGAGGCGGGCGGATTGCTCAAGGTCAGGAGTTCAAAACCAGCCTGAGCAAGAGCGAGACCCCGTCTCTACTATAAATCGAAAGAAATTAATTGGCCAACTGATATATATATAAAAAATTAGCCGGGCATGGTGGCGCATGCCTGTAGTCCCAGCTACTCGGGAGGCTGAGGCAGAAGGATCACTCGAGCCCAGGAGTTTGAGGTTGCTGTGAGCTAGGCTGACGCCACGGCACTCACTCTGGCCTGGACAACAAAGCGAGACTCTGTCTCAAAAAAAAAAAAAAAACATACATCCTAAATGTCACTGGATCAAAGCTAAGAAAGACTGTAAGAGAGCTAGGTACCTTCCATTGCCCTGAGACCCTAGAAGAATTAGCTATAAGAAATGACAGGAAAAGGATTTTAGTTTATTATAGTCATTTTAGTATTTTCTAGAAAAAGCCAGGTCCTTGAATTACTGGGTAACATTTGAGGTTTATATTTCTCCAGATGCCTTGTATTCTATCTGAGGGTGAGACCCCAAAACATTTTGCTAATAGTTTGTGCTTATTGCAGGAATGTGACTGACACAGATATTCTAGCCCTGGAACGACGACTGCTCCAAACCATGGATATGATCATAAGCAAAAAGAAAAGGTAAGCTATCAACACATTAAAACATTTATATTCTGTTATGATTTCTCAACAAGAAAATTTGACTATGAATTAGTGCTGGCAGGGCATTTCATCTTATTCATTTTTATTATAAGGTTAGTACCGTCAAAGATTTAGTGCCTAATCTTGTATGAAAGAAAATTCTCAAATTCAACCTTATTTCCTGAATTTTAATACTGCTTAGGTAAATTATTAGAATAAATTTTTTGCTTAATTTTAAATTGTAAATTGACAAATTATAGTTGTATATATTTATGGGATGCTATGATTTATAAGTACAGTGAGGAAGAATTGAACACAGGTAATTAACATATCCATCACCTCAAATACTGAACATTTTTTATGGTGAAAACATTTGCAATTTACTCTCTTAGCAATTTTATTTATTTATTTATTTATTTATTTATTTTGAGACAGAGTCTCACTCTGTTGCCCTGGCTAGAGTGCTATGGCATCAGCCTAGCTCACAGCAACCTCAAACGCTTGGGCTCAGGCAATCCTGCTGCCTCAGCCTCCCAAGTAGCTGGGACTACAGGCATGTGCCACGATGCCCAGCTAATTTTTTCTATGTATTTTTAGTTGGCCAATTAATTTCTTTCTATTTTTAGTAGAGACGGGGTCTCTTGCTCAGGCTGGTTTTGAACTCGTGACCTTGAGCGATCCTCCCGCCTCAGCCTCCCAGAGTGTTAGGATTACAAGGGTGAGCCACTGCACCCAGCCTCTCTTAGTAATTTTAAAATGTACAATACATTATTATTTACTATATTCATCATGCTGTGCAGTATATCTCAATGAAAAATAAAAACTTATTCCTCCTGTCTAATTGAGGCTTTGTACCCTTTGACCATCATCTCCCCATTCCTCCAACTCCCCCTAGCCTCTGGTAACCACTATTCTTCCCTCTGATGTGTTGAGTTCAACCGTTTTAGATACAACAAATAAAGGAGAACGTGCATTATTTGTCTTTCTGTGCCTGGCTTATTTCACCAATTCCATCTATGTTGTCACAATGACAAAATTTCTTTTTTTCAGGCAGAATAGTATTGTGTATATATGTACCCCATTTTCTTTATTCATCTGTTGGTGGACACATAGGTTGAGTCCATAACTTGGCTATTGTGAATAATGCTGCAATGGACATGGGAATATAGATATCTCTTCAACATACTTATTTTAAATCTTTTGAGTAATACCCAGAAGTGGGATTGCTGGATCATATGGCAATTTTATTTTATTTATTTTTTTTTTTTTGAGAACTCTCAACACTGTTTTCCATAGTGGCTGCACTAATTTACATTCCCACCAGCAGTATAATAGGGTTCTTTTTTCTCCACATCCTCACCAACACATGTTATCTTTTATCTTTTTGATAATAGCCATTCTGACAGATATAAGCTAGTATGCCATTGTGGTTTTAATTTGCATTTCCTTAATGATTAGTGGTGAGCATTTTTTTTATAATTTGTTAGCCGTTTATATGTCTTCTCTTCAAAAATGTCTATTCGACCGGGCGCGGTGGCTCACGCCTGTAATCCTAGCACTCTGGGAGCCCAAGGCGGGTGGATTGCTCAAGGTCAGGAGTTCAAAACCAGCCTGAGCAAGAGCAAGACCCTGTCTCTACTATAAATAGAAACAAATTAATTGGCCAATAATATATATAGAAAAAATTAGCCGGGCATCGTGGTGCATGCCTGTAGTCCCAGCTACTCGGGAGGCTGAGGCAGGAGAATTGCTTGACCCCAGGAGTTTGAGGTTGCTGTGAGCTAGGCTGACGCCATGGCACTCACTCTAGCCTGGGCAACAAAGCAAGACTCTGTCTCGAAAAAAAAAAAAAAAAATGTCTATTCAGGTCCCTTGCCCATTTTTTAAATCAGATTATTTGTTGTTGTTTTTTTATAGAGTTGTTTGAGTTCCTTATATATTTTGAATATTAACCCCTTATCAGACCTATGGCTTGCAGATATTTTCTGCATAGGTTCATAGGTTGTCTCTTCACTCTGTTAATTGTTTTCTTTCTTGTGCAGAAGCTTCTTATTTTGATGTAATCCCATTTGTCTATTTTTGCTTTTGTTGTCTGTGCTTTTGGGGTCAAATTTTAAAAGTTATTGCCCAGACCAATGTCTCATAGTTTTTCCCTTATTTTCTTTTAGAAATTTTACAGTGTCAGGTCTTATGTTTAAGTCTTTAATACATTTTTAGTTGATTTTTACATATGGAGTAAGATGAGGGACCAATTTCACTCTTCTACGTATGTATATCTGGTTTTCCTAACACCATTTATTGATAAGACTGGCCTTTTCCCAATGTGTATACTTGGCACCCTTGTCAGAAATCAATTGACTATATATGTGTGGGTTCATTTCTGGGCTCTCTATTCTATTCCATTGGTCAATGACTATCACTTTGTAGTATAATTTGAAATCAGGTAGTGTAATGCCTCCAGCTTTGTTCTTTTTGTTCATGATTGCCTTGGCTATTCAGGATTTTTTGTGGTTTCATAGGAATTTTAGGATTGTTTTTCCTATTTCTGTGAAAAATGACATTAGAATTTTGGGAGGGATTGCATTAAATCTGTAGATTGCTTTGAGTAGTGTAGACATTTTTACAATGTTCAAAGAATATTTCAAAAATGAAATCAAGAGAAGAATCCCATTTACAAAAGCTACAAAATAAAAGATACTTAGGAATACTTAGGAATACTTAGGAATAAATTAAACTGAGGAGGTGAAAGACATAAATACTGAAAACCATAAAATGTTAATCGAAGAAACTGAAGAAGACACAAATAAATGGAAAGATAAATCATGTTGATGAATTGGTAGATAACTTTTATATTTGAAGGATGGATGTTTTAAAAATTGATTCTCCCTCATTTTTACAGACTTTTTCATGTCTGACTTAGATCTTTTCAACTTCCTTTTTTCCAACTACTTAAAATCCATCAAGTCTTCTTTTTTTTTAATTTCAGAATATTATGGGGGTACAAACATTTTGGTTACAGATAATGCCTTTGCCTCGCTCAAGTCTTCTAATATTATTTTTCTGTTTTTAAAAAGTACTTTTTAAATGTTTATTTACAAAGTGGTATTTCATAGACATCTGTATCACAATAGACAAGAACATAGCTCTGAAATGAGACTGCCTGAATTTGAATTCTTTTTTTTTTTTGGGAAACAGAGTCTTATTGCCTGGGCTAGAGTACCATGGCATCAGCCTAGCCCACAGCAACCTCAAACTCCTGGGTTCACAAAATGCTTCTGCTTCAGCCTCCCAAGTAGCTGGGACTAGAGGCATGCGCCACCATGCCTGGCTAATTTTTTCTATATATTTTTAGTTGTCCAGCTAATTTCTTTCTATTTTTAGTAGAGACGGGGTCTCGCTCTTGCTCAGGCTGGTCTTGAACTGCTGACCTTGAGCGATCCTCCCGCCTTGGTCTCCTATAGTACTAGAATTACAGGCATGAGCCACCAAGCCTGGCCTTTAATCCTTGGTCTACAAATAACAATGTCACCTTGATTAGTTACTTTGTCTTTATGCCTTGGTTTCCTCTTCTGTAGGACAGAGATAACAGTAATGAGTTAAGACTGGTAGAGCCTTTAGAACAGTGAACCCCACCTTGCTAAGGGCAAGTACTGAACTTATTAATAATTTCTACAGGACAATCATCTGGTTTTCATGCTTGGCCTTCATTTATTTATTCATATATTCATTCACTTAATAATTTTAGAAAATCTAGTTTATGCCAGACACTGTACAAAACACTGGGGACAGAATGATCAACAAGATAATAATTTCCTACCTTCATGAAACTTCTTAGTCTACTGTCTTTATTAAAGTTAATATTACCCATATATAAATGGTAACAGAGGTTTTGAATTACACAAGTATTTTTATATTTCATATTTTCTCCATCAGCACTTTTCTAAAGTAAGACCCATAATCAGGTCAAAGAAACCTTAATGTACGAGACAACATTAGGTATTAGAATGATAAAGAAGGCTCAGATTCACCAACATTTGTCTCCATGTCTTTACTGGGGTCTTCAAGGTAGACACATATGTGTATACATTTGTTTTACTTACATATATCTTATTTACATTCAGTTTATTTTACATAAATGTTTATTAATGCAGTTTTTATTTTTGTTTTTTTTTTGAGACACAGTCTCACTTTGTTGCCCAGGCTAGAGTGAGTGCCGTGGCATCAGCCTAGCTCACAGCAACCTCAAACTCCTGGGCTCAAGCAATACTGCTGCCTCAGCCTCCCAAGTAGCTGGGACTACAGGCATGCGCCACCATGCCTGGCTAATTTTTTCTATATATATTAGTTGGCCAATTAATTTCTTTCTATTTATAGTAGAGACGGGGTCTCGCTCTTGCTCAGGTTAGTTTTGGACTCCTTACCTCGAGTGGTCAGCCCGCCTCGGCCTCCCAGAGTGCTAGGATTACAGGTGTGAGCCACTGTGCCCAGCCCAGATTTTTTTAAATATAAAAATAAGTGTAAAATTTTCAAAAGTGAAAGATACTTATATATGAATAATTCTTTTTTGATTCCCAAGGCTATTCTCCCTTTTACTTTATTTCTTTTATTTATATAAAGAGATGAATGTATTAGAGTGAAGTCATGACCCATGTCAAGTGTGGATATACACTTTTAAATCATTTTATACTAGTTGTGGTTAGGAATTGGCTGTAATCTACATACAGTCCAGTTCCCCTATAATACCTTCTCTAATCAGAGTCAGGAATGATTTGTGGTCATACAGTAGGTTTTATTAATGTAAGTGGCTCTCAGAAGAATCAGCCTCCCAGCTTGACCTAATTAGCACAGTCCTTCACCTAGGATAGCTAACAGAACAGGTAGACAGCTAACGTGACAACACTGGGCCCTTGGGATTCATACAGTGCCCTTGCCAGTTACCACAATATAGAAAACGTTTTTGCAAACTCTCAACAGTAGAGGGCCATAGTGAGATGACATACAATAAAAATGACAGCTGTTAAATACAGAAAAGTTAATGGTTGAAATGGAGGGGAGGAAAGAAGCACACACTTCCCATTTAGAATAGTGAAGGAAAAAATCTTAACTTCTACCTTGAGTTAGGTTTTTCTAAGTTCTCTTTTTGAAATTTTGTGGGGATAAGGGGAAAAAATACATTCCACTAGTAAAATTTCAGCACAAGCCACAGTTGTTCTCAAATGATAGTAAAGGAAACTTCCAGGAATAGCAATGGAAAGAGTTCAAGCAATTCCTTCTATAGAAAAATCATAAACTGAAAAAAGTATTAAAAGCATATATTTGAAGTTACTGGAAAATGAACAGAGGCAGGTAGAAATTTGAGAAGATCATCAGGTAACTGTTGCAAATTTATGACTTGCTTGTCTAGAGGTGCCCCTCAACCACAACCCACCCTCCCAACACCCACTCAAGTGTACAGATTAATAGAGTTAAAATCAGCAAGAGTAACTGGAAATTTAAAGGAAATTTTGGAAGTGAGAGAGATGCAAAAGGACTGAGATCCAGAATCTGAGTATAAACTCTGCACAGATCCCTTCCTCATTACTAAATAATGCATGTGCACAGGAAACACCAGAGAGCCTGAGAAAAAGTAAGTGGGAACTAGGAGTCTACCTTGAAAAACAGAATTGCTGCTTGGTGAGATTTGCAGGTTTGCTATGACTTTGATTGAGTGCATTGCCTGAGCTGTGTGCGGATTAAGCACACAGCCTAGATGACAGAAAGTGAAAGTCTTACTGGCTTAAGTTGTCAGAAGGTAGAATTTAGGACTAGCAAAGCAATTAGAAATTTAGGACAAAAAAAAAGTTAGGAGAGATCCCTAGAAGCTAAAGAACCACAGAGAGGGTAAGTACTGAAATGTGATTACAAAATCTGTCCAGATTTTTGGTTAATCACCATCATACATGAGCTCAGGCTCAGAGAAGACCCTCAGAGAGTCAGACTAAAAAAGGAGCAGCTGTAAGCTGAAAAACTGAGCAACAACATTAGTTGCTACAGGTATAACAGATTTCACAGTTTGAGTATAGGTAAGTTAATTGCTTACTAGTACAAAAAAAACCAATAATCCTCAGAACAAAACAGATTCCAAAGTCACTACACCATATTAACTGTAATATCAAGTTGTCAACCAAAACTTACTAGACATGCAAAGAAACAAGACTGTGCAACCCATATTCAAGATCAAAAGCAGTCAATAGAAACTAACTCCAAGTTGATCCAGATGATAGATTTGGCAAACAAAGACTTGAAAGTAACTATTAGAAATACATTCAGGCCAGGCGCAGTGACTCACACCCGTAATCCTAGCACTCTGGGAGGCTAAGGCAGGTAGATTGCTCAAGTCAGGAGTTCGAAACCAGCCTGAGCAAGAGAGAGACCCCCTCTCCACTAAAAATAGAAAGAAATTAATTGGCCAACTAAAAATTTATAGAGAGAGAAAAAATTAGCCGGGCATGATGGCACATGCCTGTAGTGCCAGCTATTCGGGAGGCTGAGGCAGAAGTATTGCATGAGTCCAGGAGTTTGAGGTTGCCGTGAGTTAGGCTGATGCCATGGTACTCTAGCCCAGGCAACAGAGAGAGGCTCTGTCTCAAAAAAAAAAAAAAAAAAAAAACTCAGCAGTTTAAAAAAACAGTAAACAACAAGAGATAAAAAAGTAAAAAGAAAATTTTTTAAATAAAAAAAACATTCAAAGAAATGAAGAAAAGCATGATATTAACTAGTAAAAAGATGGGGAATCACAACAGAGAAATGGAAACTTTTAAGAAACAATAGAAATTCAAAAACTAAAAATGACAGTAACTAAAATACAAATTTTGCTAGATAGGCTTAATAGCAGACTTGAGATACAGAAGAAAGAAACAGTGAACTTGAAGATAGAGCACTAGAAATTATTCAATCTGAAGAATAGATAAAACATTGAAGAAAAATGAACAAAAGTCTCAGTGTGAGACCATATCAAGCAATCTATATCTTGTAGTTGGAGTCCTAGAAAAGAGGGAAAGGAGCAGAAAAAGTATTTGAAGAAATAATGTCCCAAAACTTCCCAAATTTGGTGGAAAACATTAATTTACAGATTCAAGAAGCTCAAAGAATTCCAAATCGGATAAACACAAAAGAAAACTACATCTACATACATACAGTCAAACTGCTAAAAGAGAAAGAGAAAATCTTGAAAGCAGCCTTCTTCATGTACATGTTCTAGCTTTCTCAACTGTGAAAATAGAAAAATTCAGAATTACTGAAATCTTGCCAAGTCAGAATCTTCCTAGGTCTGAGCCTCTTCTTGGTTGTTTATTGTGTCTTCTCAAAATGCTAAGTTTAGCTGATGTATAGTTAGAAGAAAGGCAGAAAGAACTAGAACTTGGAGCTGTGTTTCTTTCACTCAGTATCCAGGTGAAGGTCATTTTGAGGAGGAAACAATTAAAGCAACGTGGCTGACACACCTAACATTCTTTCTTGTTAATACCATTTTTTGCTAATGGCTTACAAAATTTAGCCCAGAGAAATACCATTTGGTATTTGGTACCATTTGATATTTGGTACCATTGGTATCATTTGTATTAGTCCCAGCCATACGTACCAATGCTGCTGCTTCCTCCTCATCATTTTTATCTCTTATCACCCAAAAAATATCCATCTTCAGTTAAATTTTCTTTAGTCCTGCTACTCTATTTTTATTAGACTCATTCTGGTTCATTTTAGGCCTACTGGCCTTGGCCAATTATACCCTTCAAGTAATCATTTATTCACAAATGATTGTAATTTTTAACCTCACAAGGACCCTGTTCTTAATACCTTTGGGATGGACTAGAACATCCAGCAGCTGTCACTATGCTAGTGGATCCTCCACAGACTGAGAGGACAAGAAAAAGGAATGGTCGGTTTCCTTTTGATTTATTTAGTAGTAGGACATATTTCAGTGGGTAAGGGAATTAGACTTAAAGGGAGACTAATTTTTAGAAAGGTACTGGTTTATGTGATTTTGCTATTGTGTTTTTCCTTTTGTCTGCTTTTGAAAAGGAAGGCAAAAAATATTTATTGAGTTCCTGCTCTGTACCTGGTCCCCTAGCTAAGTGTGTTAGCTATTTTATTTTATGCTTAAATGGTAACTATAATATATTATTAACATTTGTATAGCACTTTGTAGTTGAAAACATAAGTTCTTATAGATTATTTCATTCATCTTCACATCTATCCAGAGAGGAGGAGATGAAAACTCTTAAGGTCTCACAGCTTCTAAGTGGCAGAGTTAGTCCTCAAATTTATTGTCTACTCTAAATTCTGTGCTTCTTCACCTAGGCCACATTGCTTCCACATAATTTCTCTTCAGTTGTAAATAGTAGAAAAGTGGGACTCCAGAATCAGCATCCTTTCCCGAACAGCTCAGCAAATGAGAGAGGCAGTTATGAGACTGGAAAGTAGATGACTGGACTTTGGGGTTCCATGCCTCCTTGCTGAGATTTTATATTTTCTTTCATTTCAGGATGGCAATGGCACGAAGAACTATGTTCCAGAAGGGGGAGGTGCATAACAAGCCATCAGGATTCTGGGGAATGATAAAAAGCGTTACTACTTCAGCACCAGGAAGTGAAAGTATCCTTTGTCCTTCTGCTTGATTCTTTTTGTCTGGACCAAGGGCAGAAGAAAAAAGTAGTATTGGGATAGTCCCTTCTAAGGTACCTGACTGCATCAGAGTCCACTGGCTTAGAAACTACAATGCATATAAGGAACATCTTTCCAACACCTGTGTAAGATCATAAAATCATTGTCTTTGAGCTGAAGGGGGGTCCTAAAAAAGTCAGTCTTTCCATTTTACAGATGAGAAAATAGACCCAGAGAAGTTAGGTCACACAGTGGTTTGTGGCAAAGCTAGGAACAGAACTGTGGTCTCTTCTTCATAGTTCTTTCCACTACACTATTATATTTCTCAACTCCGAAAAACCACCACAAAGCTCTCTAAAATGGATGGCTTGTATATGGGATGGTAAAGGCCCATTCCTAAAGTAATTAGTATTCCTAGACAAATTTTAAGTAGCTTTGCTTCTCTAGTGACTTTTTGGTTTAAAGAACCAAAGAGACTAGGTTAATAAATTGTTCTTGGCCCAACTAGTTATGGTGTTGAACTAATTCCCAAATTGTGTAACCAAATCTCTATGTGGTTCCCAGGCTATTAGGTCAAAACTTTGGAGGATTAAGCATCAGATGGCAAATCCTGTTTCCTTCTCTGGCCCAGGGAAATTCAAATTCTCTCTTTCTTCAGTTGGAGGAGAAAGATGTAGTCTATTCTTGCTATGAATTATGACTTACATCCTTCTAGTGTCAAATGCAGGTAAGAATAAGATCAAAGAGAGGGAGGATGATTATGGAAGAGAAAGAAAAAGGATTAATTTAGATTTATTTAATCAAGAAACATTTATTTCACATCTCCTATTTCTAAGCCAAGTGCCAAGAGGTAAAATGGTGAATAGAGCATAGCCTCTCTCCTTAGGGAGAGAGACATGTAACTAGTTAAACCATATAATTTGGCAGCCTGAACCATGCAAATAGTAGCCACTGTTGAGGAAGGAAATGTAGAGCACTTGCTGACTTGGGTAATAGTGGGAAAAATCACAAAGAGAGAGGATTTAAATTAAAGTCAATGCTTCTATTTTAGAAGGGCCTATCTTTACTATTTTTATTACTTAAAAGTCCATAAAAGCCAATAGTGTAGGTTTCAGAGCTATTTTGGTAATAAGTCAACAAATACATCACGATTATTTAACCTCTCTGAGCCCCTGTTTCCTAAATGGGAGAATAATAATGCTACCTGATTGAGTTCTTGGAAAATAGAATAGTATAGTGGAAAGAACAGGCCTTGGAGTAAGGCCGGTCTGACTTTGCATCCACACCTATTGGCTGTGTGACTTTGAGCAAGTTATCTCTCTGAGCTTCACTTTCCTTATCTGCAAAATGGATAATAACACCTATCTCATGGGAATGTTGTAAGAGTAAAAAAAGATAATGTCTGTAAAGAACTAAAGAAGGTAATGTCTATAAATCCCAGCCTACATTAGAACTCAGTAAATATTAGTTCCCTTTTCTAACATTGTATTTATTCAGATAATGTAGGAGAAAGCCATGCCTTAGTAGAGATTTTATTATTATGTAACCATTTATGATCTTGAAGATTACATTTAACTTAATATAACTAGATAAATAAAACAAAAAACAAACAAATGACACCATCTGTTTGAGCCACTTGGGAGAAACAGTGATTGATGTTTGATGGTGATGTTCTTGATAGCGAAGCTTTTACACATCTATGTCAGAGGTTGGGAAAATTGCTCTGAAGTTGCACTGCTAGCTATGAAACTGAAAACTGAAAATACAGGCAGTTCCTGGGATCCACTGTAGGAAAATCCAGAAACATGTGCTTTCTTCATTGCCATTTCTTTATGTTTCTATGTGATTCAAACCTTAATGCCCATTTTCTGCCAGATCTTACTCTTATTCAACAGGAAGTGGATGCTTTGGAAGAACTAAGCAGGCAGCTTTTCCTGGAAACAGCTGATCTCTATGCTACCAAGGTACAGAGTAAGGAAACTAAAGTGTGGTTTTTACCAATGTGATTAAAGAGAGAACAAGAGTAAATGGCTTTTCAGTGTTCTTTATGGCAAAGCAAGAGACACCTCACAGCTTCAATATCAGCCACGAAATATTAGGGATGAAGGGTCTGCTCTCTTCATGAAATTGCTCCTATCTCTAGCAAAATCCTTAATAGAACATTCTCAATAATAGAAATTGATGGGATAGTCAGAATAGGCTTTTCAACACCTAGGAAGGTGGCAAACACCAATTCCTACTGACCTGGGATAAAGATGGTAGCTCCTCTGATTCCTTTTTATTCCCTTACAAGTTAGTGTTACTATATGAGAGCAGTAGACACCTGTATGCCCTGGTCTAGCCCTATTTTAAAGGATCCAAATCAGTAAGTATCCTAACTACAAGAAGTAGCCATATAGCATAGAAGTTAACATAGACTTGGAAACAGGAAGACCTGAGCCTACTTCACAGGGGTGGTCATAGAGGATAAAGGTTAACATAGGCTTAGGAAACAGACCCAATCCTACTCACCAGCTGTGTGACCTGGGCAAGTTATTTAACCTCTCTAAACCTCAATTTTCTCATCTGTAAAATTAAGATAATAGATCATTTCTCATAGGAGTTATTATGAAAGTCAAAGTAGATAATTCATGTAAGATATTTATCCTAGTTTCTGGCTTAAAGTAAGCATTCAGTGAATATTGGCCACTACTACTGTAATAATAGTTTAATATTATTACCATGTGTGGTTTTTTGACTCAGCCTGAACAATAATTCATAGAGGAATACTTGTATTGAATATAAATTTATATTTTGCTGAGATGAACCATGTTTTGTGTTTATTTTCCCCCAGGAAAGAATAGAATACTCCAAAACTTTCAAGGGGAAATATTTTAATTTTCTGGGTTACTTTTTCTCCATTTACTGTGTTTGGAAAATTTTCATGGTAAGTATATTATTTTTTTGTTTGTTTGGGGGGTTTTTTTCCTTATTTTTTTTCTTTTTTATTTATTTATTTATTTATTTTTCTTTTTTGACCATCTAAACTCTCACTTGGAAGTGAAGGTATATTATTTTTAATTGTCAGGTATTTTTTAGGTGTTTTTCCCTGGTAATAACGGGGAGATAAGAGTAGATTTGATTGATACATTGAACTAAATTCCAAATTTGATTGAGGCAACAGAGAGTGTGATCTTTCGCATCTTTGAGCCTCATTCTTTTTCCCCTCTCCTTTTTAGATAACCTAGAAAAGGTAGGTTGCATTTTTCTTCTGTCAGAAATTATTAATAAGGCCTTAGTTTATGAAACATATGAATTGAATGTGAAAATTTCTTATTTTATACTCTGCTTTCTATATTACCCTTGGGTATATATGTGTGTAACCTCAACTCCTACCTTCAGCTCAGAACAGAAGCTACTTGTCCTTTTTAATAATGTATATATTTGGAAAATTAAGTCCAAAGTAAATTATAAAATGTATTTCCATAGATAAATTCATCTTCTGTGCTTATAGCTCTTATTCTTTTTGGCTTCCCTTAATATTTTTTTCTTTATATGCACTTTATATACAGTATTTGTCTTCTGACTCATCTGTAGGTATTAATAGATTTCAGTGTGATTATAGAAAAGGCTGATTTGACTTTCTAGTTTGATGACTTTTCTACTAGGGCTGTGTTTGCACAAAGAGGAGCTTTGTCAGCTTGTTAGTTAATTTTGATCAGTGTAGATGAATAAGGGATTTTGGATTTAATGGACCTAATGTTATAATAAATTGATGTCAGTACCACTCAGGTAACATTTTAAAATCTTGATTTATTCAGTGGGAGTGGATAGATGAAGATAGTGCTTTCAGTTAGCTAAACTACTAAAAGGTTTTTTCCTGAGATGCAGCTGTTAGGAGAGGTATCATTTTTTAACAAAAGTTATTGGTGTATAACTGACATACAATAAACTGCACATATTTTAAGTGTACAGTTTGGTAAGAGTTGACATATGTATATACCTGTGCAACAACCATCACCACAGTCAAGACAGAGAACATGCCTATCCATCATCTCCAAAAGTTTCCTCGTGACCCTTCATAATGCCCCTCTACAGCCCCATCCTCAGGCAACTACCAATCTGCTTTCAGTCATTATATATTAGTTTGTATTTTCTAGAATTTTATGCAAATGGAATCCTGCAGTATGTATCCTTTTTCTATCTGGCTTATTTTACTCAGCATGATTATTTTAAGTTTTGTCCGTGTTATTGTGTGTATCAGTAGTTTATTCCTTTTTATTGCTGAATAGTAGCCATTATTTAGATATACCACAATTTGTTTAAATCAGGAGTCCTTAAACTTTTTAAACAGGGGCCAGTTCACTGTCCCTCAGACCATTGGAGGGCCAGACTATAGTTAAAAAAAAAACTATGAACAAATTCCTATGCATACTGCACATATCTTATTTTGAAGTAAAAAACAAACGGGCAAAAACACCCACATGTGGCCCGTGGGCTGTAGTTTGAGAACACCTGGTTTAAATAATACATTTACCTGCTGATAGATATTAGGTTGTTTCCAGTTTGGAGTATTATAAATAAAGCTGCTGTGAACATGTGTGTACAAGTCTATGTATGGACATATGCTCACTTTTCTCTTGGATAAGTACTTAGGAGTGGAATGTCTGAATCATATGGCAGGTATATGTTTAACTTTTAAAGAAACAGCTGAACTCTTTTCTAAAGAGATCGTACCATTTACGTTCCCACTTGCAGTGTATGAGTTTCAGTTGTTCCATATCCTCACCAACACTTCATATGGTGAGTCTTACTCATTTCAGACATTCTAATAGATATGAGGCGGTATTTAATTGTAGTTTTAATTTATATTTCCCTAATGTCTAATGATGTTGAGTATCTTTTCATATGTTTATTTGCCACCAATATATCCTCTTTGGTGAAGTATCTACTAAAATCTTTTGCCAAATTTTTTTTTTTGAGACAGAGTCTCATCTGTTGCCCAAGCTAGAGTGCTGTGGCATCAGCCTAGCTCACAGCAACCTCAAACTCCTGGGCTCAAGCAATCCTCCTGCCTCAGCCTCCCAAGTAGCTGGGCCCACAGGCATGCGCCCCTATGCCTGGCTAATTTTTTCTATATATATTTTTAGTTATCCAGCTAATTTCTTTTTTTTTTTTTTTTTTTGGTAGAGATACGGTCTCTCTCTTGCTCAGGCTGTTCTCAAACTTCTGACCTCAAGCAATCCTCCCACCTCGGCCTCCCAGAGTGCTAGAATTACAGGTGTGAGCCATCACACCCATCCCCAATTTTTTAATTAAATTGTTCCTTTCCCCTTCTCTTCCTTCTCTTCCCCTCCTCCTTTTTCTCCCCTCCTCCTTCTCTTCCTCCAGTCTTACTGCACTGACCAGAACCTTCAGTACAAAGTTGAATAGAAGTGGTAAGATTAGTCATTCCTACCCTTAGTCCCCATCTTAGGGAGAAACCATCCAGTCTTTCACCATTCAGTATGATGTTAGCTCCTGTCTTTTCCTAGATGCCGTTTATCAGGTTGAGGAAGTTCCATTCTAATCATAGTTTATTGAGTATTGTTAATCATGAGAGGTATTGGGTTTTGTCAGATGCTTTTTCTGCATCTGTTGAGATGCTCATATGGTTTTTCTTTTTTAGTGAGCTATTATAGTGGATTATATTCATTAATTTTTAAAATATTAAACCAACTTTGTATTCCTCCTAGAATGAACTTTAGTTATGGTGAATTATCCTTTTTATATTTTGTTGGATTCAATATGCTAACATTTTCTTAAGACTTTTTCTGTGTATATTTATGAGGATATCAGATTGTGGTTTTCTGAAGTATTCTTTGCAGGAAGATTTTTTTTTAACTACAAATTCAGTTTCTTTAAAGATATAGGGTTTATTCAGGTTATCTATTTCTTCTTGAGTGAACTCTTGCAGTTTGGGTCTCTCAAGGAACCTGTCCATTTTTATTGAAGTTGTCAAATTTATTGGCATAAAGTTACTCATAATATTTCCTTATCCTTATAATATTAATAGAAGTGGTAGAAAAGTCACCTCTCTTGTTCCTTTTTTCATATAACAGCTTTATTGGGATGTGATTCACATAGAATTTACTCATTTAGTATACAGTTCAGCAGTTTAGTGTATTCACAGAGTTGTGCAATTCTCACCACAATCAAATTTTGAACATTTTTAGCAAGCCAAAAAGAAATCGCATATTCATTAGTAGGCACTCCCCATTTCCCTCCAGTTCTCACTCCCCAGCCCCTGGCAACCACTAATCTACTTTCTATCTCTATAGATTTCCCTGTTCTGGACATTGCATGTAAATGGAACTATATGATTTATATTCTTTTGTGATTGTCTTCTTTGATTTAGCATAATGTTTTTAAGGTTCATCTGTTATTACATTTATCAATACTTCATTACTTTTATGACTGAATAATATTCCATTTTATGTATATATCACATTTGTTTTTATTCATTCTTAGTTGATGGACATTTGGGTTGTTTCCACTTTTTGGTCATTATTAATACTATTGTGAACATTCGTGTATAAGTTTTTATGTGCACATATATTTTCATTTCCCTTACATACCTAGGGGTAGATTTGCTGTGTTATATGCTAACTGCATGTTTATCCTTTTGAAGAACTGCCAGACTGTTTTCTAAAATGGCAGCACCAGTTTACATTTCTGCCAGCAGTTTATGAGAGTTCCAGTTTCTTCACATCCTCAGCCATACTTGTTATTATCTGCCTTTTTGATTGTAGCCATCCTTGAAGGTGTGAAGTGGTATCTCTCATTCTTTTTATTGTTTTTTGTTTTTTGAGACCGAGTCTCACCCTGTTACCCGGGCTAGAGTGCCATGGCGTCAGCCTAGCCCACAGCAACCTGAAACTCCTGGTCTCAAGCGATCCTTTTGCCTCAGCCTCCCTAGTAGCTGGGACTAGAGGAATGTGCCACTGTGCCTGGCTAATTTTTCCTATATATTTTTAGTTGGCCAATTAATTTCTTTCTAGATTTTTCAGTAGAGACATGGTCTCGCTCTTGCTCAGGCTGGTCTTGAACTCCTGACCTTGAGCGATCCTCCCGCCTCAGCCTCCCAGAGTGCTAGGATTATAGGCCTGAGCCACCGATATTGGTAACTTGTGTCTTCTCTCTTTTTTTCCTTATCAGTCTAGTAGAGGTTTATTGATTTTATTGAACTTTTCAAAAAATCAGCTTTTGGGTTAATTTTCTCTCTTGTTTTTCTGCTTTCTGTTTCATTTATGTCTGCTCCGATCTTTATTATTTTCTTTCTTCTGCTTATTTTGGGTCTTTTTCTAATTTCTTTAGGTGGAATTTAAGATCATTGATTGGAAACCTTCTTTTCTCATATAGGTTTTTAGTGCTGTAAATTTCTTGCTATATACTATATTAACTGCATCTCACAAATTTAGATGAATTATATTTTTCATTTAGTTTAAAATACTTTATAATTTTCCTTTTGATTTCTTTGACTCAGGGGTTATTTAGAAGTGTGTTATAAAATATTTGGGAATAGGCCGGGCGCGGTGGCTCACGCCTGTAATCCTAGCTCTCTGGGAGGCCGAGGCGGGCGGATTGCTCAAGGTCAGGAGTTCAAAACCAGCCTGAGCAAGAGCGAGACCCCGTCTCTACTATAAATAGAAAGAAATTAATTGGCCAACTGATATATATAAAAAATTAGCCGGGCATGGTGGCACATGCCTGTAGTCCCAGCTACTCAGGAGGCTGAGGCAGTAGGATTGCTTGAGCCCCGGAGATTGAGGTTGCTGTGAGCTAGGCTGACGCCATGGCACTCACTCTAGCCTGGGCAACAAAGCGAGACTCTGTCTAAAAAAAAAAAAAAAAAAAAATATTTGGGAATCTTACAAATATCATTCTCTAATTGATTTCTAATTTAATTTCATGTAGTGTAAGAACATACTGTATATGATATGAATCTTAAAATTTATCAAGACTTGTTTTCTGTCCTAGAATATGGTCAATTTAGCTCAGCATAGTAAATGTTCTATATGTACTTGAGCAGAATGCGTATTCTGCTCTTATTGGCAGGAATGTTTTGTAAACATCAATTAGGTCTAGTTGACTGGTAGTGTTAATTAAAATTTTCTCTATACTTACTAATTTTCTGGCTACTTATTTTATCAATTATTGAGAGAGAAGATCTAACTATTGTAGATCTATTTCTTTTTTTATTTCTATCAGTTTTTGCTTCATGTAATTTGAAGTTCTGTTATTAAGTACATATATGTTTAGAATCATTCTAAATATTCAAAAATATCCCTTGGTGAAATGATCCTTTTAATACTTGGCAATACTTTTTGCTATGAAATCTACTTTGAGTGACATTAATATAGACATTCTAGCTTTCTTTTGATTAGTGTTAGCATAATATCTTTTTCCATCATTTTACTTTTAACCTATTTGTGTCTTTATATTTAAAGTGGGTTTCTTGTAAGCAATATATAGTTGGATCTTGCTTTTTTATTCAGTCTGACAGTCTCTATAGCCCACAGTCCAAACCCAACCACTGCCTGCTTTTGTAAATAAAGTTGTACTAGAACATAGCCACACCCATTCATTTATGTATTATCTGTAGCTGCTGTCACACTAGAGTGGCAGAGTTTGCTGACCCATGATTTCAACCATTTACATTTAATATGATTATTGATATGAGTGGGTTTTAAGCTACCATGTTCCTATTTTTTTTTTCATTTGTCCCATCTGTTATTTTTTTCCCTTTTCCTTTCTATAAACTGCCACCTTTGAGATTAATTGGGTATTTTTCATGATTTCATTTGATCTCCTTTGTTGGCTTATTATCTATAACTCCTTTTTGGTTGTTAGTCTTTGTTCTTAGAGCTTTCAGAAAATAACCACAAAGAATAACCCTGGAATCCCTTGATTCTCTTACTCTGACTTCATCTACCAGAATGTTAACCGTTCTGGCTTCTGATAAACTATGTATATATACCATAGTTTTATTCCTCTTGACTAGTTACAGAAAAGAAAAATGGGGTAGATAGGGACTTTTGTTTCACTGTATGTGAGTAGTCAAAATAAATTTCCTATGTGATTTGGATTGAGAGTAGAATTGCATTTTTAGGAACATTGACCTGTCAGATATATTGTAGTGCCTTGTTCATTATTTTGAATCACTCTTTGAAAAAGTGATTATTAAGATGCTTTAACATAAAGGTCTGTGTCTTTGCAGGCAACCATCAATATTGTTTTTGATCGAGTTGGGAAAACTGATCCTGTCACAAGAGGCATTGAGATCACTGTGAATTATCTGGGAATCCAATTTGATGTAAGAGTTATATTAAGATCCTGATTTATTATGTTTCTTTCTGGTTTATCTGCTGTAACTTACACTTAAGATTCTAATTCCCATATGTAGGTACTTCTTCTTTTGTTCTTCCCATTCTCCTCTGTATATTTTGACATAGTCACATGGCAAATTTGTAACAGGCCAAAAATCTCTTATCATGAAGCCATAAGTAACAACTGGTGCTCATTATTGTCATGGATGCTGGTTATTTCTACAGTTGCTCCTCTGCTTCTCTGTAGCCAGCTACCACTTTACCAATTTCTCCCCACCAAAGTATTCAGGTACTTCTCTCAGTGACACATGATGAGCTCTTTAGACATACAACTCACTTTTGGTTCCACTGATAGAAAATTAACTACTAATTATTGTTCTGTGTTAGAGCTGAAATGACTTCTGCTATAAGAAGTGATCTTAATTAATAAATATAGACCTTAGGCTAAAGATGGTAACTGTCAGCTTAGAACAAAGTTATTTTTTAATTATCTTTCTACCTGTTTCATAATACTACTGTCAAACACACCCTTGTCCCAATTTAATTTCATGTCTATATTGATAAACTAGTATATTTTCCAGATATATTATGGGCGATGATTCTGGCTGAATAGCACTTTAGTAGTAAGACCAATGTCACATTCTTAGTCCCAGCATAGACCATTTCACTGTGCTGTCAACCTAGACACAGACTGCATGCTTCCCCAGCCATCCATTTCAGCCAGGTGTGCCTCCAATCTCAAGGGCAGCTGGGTAAAATGAAAATAAACCAGAGCAAATTGAGCTCCAGTCCTTGAGAAAACGCTCAAAGTACATGTTCCTTGATGCTGTGTCAGTAGTGTATCCTCTCTGCATGTGAAGGAGCATGTATCCTCAAGTATTGTCTAAGTATCCTTTGTTATTGTTGCATTTGGGTTTTCCTCATTTAAATTTTTTACTGGGCTGAATTTTTAGAAATGCTCTTTTCTGTGCTGAGGCTCCTTAATTGCTGTGTATCTATTCCTTCTATAGTTCACCTATATACTCCATATTTTGTAATTCTAAATAACAAACTTTTAGATGTTATATAGCAGCTCCCCCTCAGATACTTTGCAGAACTGAATTGAGCATGAGGTTCCCCAAACTGCTGCTCACTATGGAACAATGCAGGAGGAGAAAAAAGTATCTTGTGATTTAAATGAAGTTCAGCTATTTCCTAGAATTTAGCTGAGAATGTCTATTTTATTAATTCTTGCTTTTCACTTATCACCATAAGAGCTATTCAATAGCTGTGTTTTTTCTGATTAGTGTTATTTTTATCACTTCTCTATACTCGCTTCCTTGTGTTAAGATTTAAGTCTGTTAATTAAGATATACACTGTAGTCTTCCTATATGTGTTTTATTTTCCACTTACTTGCTTTCCTTCATTTAAAAAAAAAAAAAAATCAAGGCCTAATGAAGTTCCCTCACATAATCACATAAATGATCAGAATACATCTTGGCCTTCTCTGAACAGAGACTTAACAGTTATTTTTTTCTTCCTTTTATGGTGGCAGGTGAAGTTTTGGTCCCAACACATTTCCTTCATTCTTGTTGGAATAATCATTGTCACATCCATCAGAGGATTGCTAATAACTCTTACCAAGGTATGTTACATCACAGTGTCAAAAAGTACTGTTTATCATTTGTTTAATAACAATGTGGTACCATACCATGAGATAATTTTACCTAAGAGTTCTGCCTCCTGAGATCTTAACAGTCCCAAGTATTTAAAAGACATACAACAGAACTTTTAAAAAGTTAAACTAATAAATTGATGATGTATTTATTTCATAGATGAACACATTCACCAAAGGTAATAGGATTAGATAAGGGTCTGTTTTATTCACTGATATGTCACGAAACTGGCACATAGTAGGTAATCAACAGATATTTGTAATAAAAGATATTTGAGATTAGAAGAATTGAGTCATTTGTAAAGAAAATATGGAAGTAGAGGAACAGAAGTCCTCAATGTCATCAGTAGGTTCTTAGAAACTGCTACTTTAAGCCAAGTGACATACAGCTTTCATTATAACATTGATGAGAAAAAATTTGGTTTTTTAATACATTATTTCACTTAAAGTCTTGGTTTCTAAGAACCTGTAGACATTAAGGGAGGTCCTACTATATTTAGCTGTTTTCTGATCAACATAGAAAGACTTCATGGAGGTAGAAAGTGAGTACTTGCTCTAGAAGAGAGATTTCAAAATCCAGGAGCTATTTGAATGAAAGAAGAGTTTGGGACAAGAAGGGGTCAATTGTCAAGGGACAATTTGGGAAAGAGCTCAGGAGCCTAGTAACAATTAAATGCTTAGAATGGCCTAGAATAATCTGATTTAGTGTTTTATAATGATTATAATAAGTCAAATACATCAGTTTCTGAAGTTTGACAGAATAGGACTCCTTTTATATGTTATATAACACCAACTACCTCTGAGGGAAAACTATTTCAGTAGTCTATTTTAAGTCTCTTCTTCATAGCCTTAATCATATGAATTGTTCTACAGAGGATTATGGCATAGAAGAGACTTGTTAACCATGTTACTTATTTGTCATGACACAGGAGTCTCGCAGTACTACATCAATTCATCTCTCTTTTCTTGCCAGTTCTTTTATGCCATCTCCAGCAGTAAGTCCTCCAATGTCATTGTCCTGCTATTAGCACAGATAATGGTAAGTTTAATGTACTAGCTTTATGTTTACAGCTGGAAAATACCAGAAATGTTTTATACTTTTAAATATTTTAACAATTTTTTACCTGCTGCTCACTACATTCAGAGTAACTTCTGGGTTGATTTGACTTATAGGGCATGTACTTTGTCTCCTCTGTGCTGCTGATACGAATGAGTATGCCTCTAGAATACCGCACCATCATCACTGAAGTCCTTGGGGAACTGCAGTTCAACTTCTATCACCGTTGGTTTGATGTGATCTTCCTGGTCAGCGCTCTCTCCAGCATACTTTTCCTCTATTTGGCTCACAAACAGGCACCAGAGAAGCATATGGCACCTTGAATTCATCCCAGTTATATGGACTGTTAGAGACCAGTGGTGTCAGAATTTGGATGTAAGAATGGGGGAGAAGGAGGGGACCAAGGCCTAATATTTTTGAAACAAAATGCTGTGGTAGCATATTTTACCTCCAGCATACTCCTTCTTCCTCAGATGATACTGTGATCATGAGGAGCATCAGCTAAGAACATTGAAAGGGAGAACTCAGAATCCAAGGCAATACTCAGCAGAAAACATCCTGTGTGGATTTACGGCTGGTATAGCTCGTGGAGAGGGAAGGAGTGAAAAGAGCCAAGAAACTAGGGGAGAAAATACACTGGAACTCTGGGCAAGAGATGTCTGTGACAGCTGGGCCAAACACATAGGCTTTTTTTAAGTCAGGGTTCACACGGAGGTGGTCATGGCTTTCCCTTGAGAGTGTCATAAAAAAAAAAAAAATCAAAGATTGTAACATGTTGGTCTTGCGTTCATTTTATCAGGCATAGCTTGCTATTATGCTTATGCTAACATGAGTCAGCATCCCTCCCCCTAGCCCCTGCCCTATTAAAATAACCAAGAGCTTATGTTTTCTGGGAAAGGGATGGTATGCAACTGAAATAGATTCTACCATTTTTTTAAATTTCCTTTTAACTTGAGTGAATACCCTACATTCAATTCAGTAATGATATCTCCATATTTTTCCTTCTACCTTTTTCTTTACATTCTGCCCTTCATGCCATGGGGTAAGACAATGAATAACTTAAGTGGAATAAGTCACTTTCTTATCCTGGGACTCAATAACTTCATCTGTAGAAGGAAGATATTGGCAAATTTGTAGAATGCTCAGGAATGCAATTTAAGAAAATTCTAAACTGTATTACCTGGAAGTCTTCTTTTATTACTAAGGTCTTACTCTGTATTTTAGTGTGTTTTGGGTTTCTAGAGGCAAATGAAGGTTAAAGTATAAAATGTTTATCCAAAACAAATGCACTTTTAAGGTTATACACCAGCCAACAGAAGTCATAAGCATACTCAAAGGATGTTTTTAATGGTATTTATTCTAGCAACCCCAACATGGTTACAAAAGCATATTTGTAGTAGTCTCATCTGCTCAGATACTTTAATTAGCAGCTCTCACATACACAGATTTACAAATCATCTTTGGTCTCAAGGAGCCTCATCATATGAGAAACGTAGTTAAGTTGAACCTTGGAAGAGATCACAAGAAATGAATCTGGCTCCTGCCTTAGCTCTTCTAAGTTGACCATAAATAAGCTATCTGCAATAACCACCCACCCCTAAGAAATAACAGAAGACAATCACATGTGATAAATCGTTTCCAAAGGCGTTATTCCTCTAATAGAGACAGTAAACAGGTGGCCCCTTGTTTAAATATCCAGGAACAGCTATCAGCCAAAGCCATTATTTGTTCTCATCACATCTCTGTATCTTCAGAATTGGAAGAAGAATGTGAAGCTGTACTGTGGGCCTGTGCAAAAGAAAACAAGGGATGATCAATTCTAGAGTTGCATGATTTAAGTCAAAGAGTAAAATCACTGAAGCCAGGTGACCTGAATTCTATACCTGGCTTTGTTTCCAACATCCTGGCTGGCACATAAAAATATATATACTTACATTAAGAAGTTAATAAGACTAGCATAGTACTATAGTTGACTTCCTATAGAGAAATTATATATCACCAATCAGAATTAAGTTAATGGAAAGAATATCAAATTAAACGTTAGAGTCCTGGCTTTGCCGTAAATTTCCTGTATGAACTTAAGTCAGTTTACTTTTGGACCTCAAATTCATCTACATAAAGAAGTTAGACAGGCCAGGCGCAGTGGCTCACGCCTGTAATCCTAGCTCTCTGGGAGGCCGAGGCGGGCAGATCGTTTGAGTTCAGGAGTTCAAAACCAACCTGAGCAAGAGCAGGACCCCTGGCTCTACTATAAATAGAAATTAATTGGCCAATATATATAGAAAAAATTAGCTGGGCATGGTGGTGCATGCCTGTAGTCCCAGCTACTAGGGAGGGTGAGGCAGCAGGATCACTTGAGCCCAGGTTGCTGTGAGCTAGGGTGACGCCACGGCATTCACTCTAGCCTGGGCAACAAAGTGAGACTTTGTCTCAAAAAAAAAAAAAAAAAAAAGACAAATATAAAACAGACTCACCAAGGAATTTATTTATAGAATACTTAATCTTTCCTAGTAAAGCTGGAATACCTGACAATTTAAAAACAATACTTCCCCTAACCATCACCATTCACTTACATGCTCACTGTGAGGCAGGCAATGTTCAAAGTACTTAGTTATTATCATCCTGCTAACAGTCCTACAAGTTATTCCCATTTAATAGGTGAGGAAACTGAGGAACAGAGCTAATAAATCCATTTGCCCAAGGCAAATGACAGAACTAGAATTTGTACATAAATAGTCTGATTCAGGTTCTTCTGGTGGTTCCCCTGATAATTTTGTTAAACTTCGTACTTTCACTTCTTAATTTATCCACTCTAGACAATTGCTGTCAACTGCATGCTTGAAAGAAAAAAATCTGTTTTCCTTATTTTACTGCTTCCTGTCTTCTACAGTAACTTGATTTGTTGGTTATCCTTACAGGGTCATTATCTGTTTTTTTGGTTTTGTTTTTAAATAAGAAGTCTGTGGTAAACATGGACATGAAGTGTGTTTATTAGTGACTATACCGTACTCTGGCAGGTTAGGTCACTAAAAGAAATGTATCACCACTCACTCGATCTTTTGCCACATGCAAGTCATGCTCTGACTCCACTGGTGTTCCTTCTTTGGAATCTGGAGTGGCATCCAGTGGATCAGCCATGGAGGAAACAATTGGGATTTTCTTAGCTTGGAAATAATCGTAGGCCTTCTTTCCACAGACTAGAAGTGTGACATTCTTCCCACTGCTCTGGATTCTGTCCACCACAGCCTCATAGGGTTCCTCCAGCACATTCACCCCATTCACTTCGATGATGATATCCTCATCCTCCAGCCCAGCCGAGTCAGCAGGTCCACCCTTCTGCACCTGTGAATAGAGGTTCGGAGTTATCAATTCCAAACACATATGGGCGTGTTAGATAAGCCATCCTTCAGAGTATAGATGAAGTGTTTGAGAATTCTTACTATGTTATTTCTCCCTGAGGTAAAGTTGAGAAAGATACTCTATTTTTCTACTTATGAAAGCTACAACTTCCATACTCAAATGAGTAGCATTAAAAGTAACAGTCCAATATTATATTGTATGTCTTCTGGGCTGATGGCATTAGTTTTCACAGGTCTCCCTCCTTCACTCCCAGCTTGAGAGCTATAGTGATAGTCTTCTAACCATCAGCCCTACATGGTAGGGGCATTATGCCCAAGGCATGACTGTTAACTACAGTCATGTCAATCACTGATTTGAAAGTGTCTAGAGAGACAATTAGGTAGAACAGATGTTTGGGAAGCAAAATGTTAACAGATGTTAAGTTTATGATGTAGTAGTAGCTAACAAAGGGTATGCAACCATGACAGCATTTATGTGAACCCAAGTGAGACCTTCAATGTAACCTTTTTAACTAAGCCATCAATGGGTGAGAGAAGCTGAGGCTATCCTAATTGTAGCTGTGTTCCTTGGGCTTCTGGAACCTAATTACCATACCTCTTTGACGAATGGGCCTGGCAGACCCCGAATGGCATTTAAGTGAAAGCCATAGCCATTTTCACCTTTAACCAGCCTGCAGAGTTTAGGCTTATGATCTACTTCTTCTGTAATATCTGGACTTGAGACCTCCAGAGAAGCAGGACTAGGAGCCGGATCCTCTTTGACAGAGCCATTAGGCAGTTCTTGACTTTGATAGTAAAGAAATGGAGAAAAACGAGCCTTTTGAAAATAAAGGAAAAAATATTTGACTTAAAATTAAGTATGAGTAATTGCACTTAATAAAGTGTGCTGGTTTAATTTGTAAGATCTCATACATGTTCTATTCTTCCAGATATATCTATTGTAAGCTGTAAAATTTCTCTACTATACCAACCAGGAAAGGTATAAAAGATTGAGCTTGGTGATGGAACAATATGTATAAACATCACACAAATGCATAAAACCACTATAGAATGCTGTACAAGGATCCAGAAAGATATCCAGCAGAATTGTTAGTTTCTTCTGATTCCATGATAGTGTGCAAGTCTCTAAATAACCCATTCATAATCCCCCCATTGGCAAATAACACATCCGAGTGTCTCATATAAAAGTAGGTTCTTCTGGCCTTTCCCCTTCAGTAAGATGGACTTCAAAGCTCTTTAAGCACATTAGAGAAAGTAAAACACTAGACACTTGATGATTAATTTTAGGTGTCAACTTGACTAGATTAAGGAAAACCTAAAAACCTGGTAAAGTATTATTTTGGGGTGTTTCTGTGAGGGTGTTTCCAGAGAAGAGCATTAAAGTGTGTGCACACCAAGTGGGGAAGATCTATCCTCAATGTGGACAAGCACCATCCAATCAGCTGGGGGCCTGGAGAGAACAAAAACAGAAAAGACAAGTGTGTCTATCTGCTGGAGCTGGGATACACTCTTCCTATCCTTGGACATCAGAACCCTAAGCTCCCTGGCCTTCAGACTCCAGGACTTATACCAGCAGCCTTCTAGGTTCTCAGGCCTTCTGTGGCCTCAGACTGTGGGTTACACCATCAGCTTCTCTGGTTGTGAGGCCTTCAGACTTGGACGGAGCCACCCTGGAGATATCCCAGGGTCTCCAGGTCACATGCAGCAGGCATAGAACTTCTCAGCCTCCACGGTCATGTAAGCCATCTCCCCTGATCTCTCATATTCATATATAACCTATTGATTCTGTCTCTGGAGAATCCTAATACAATACTTTTTATCACTATAAGAGATCAATCATTACACATAATAATTGAGGGGAAGGTAGCAGCTATTTTATAGTCACATTGTAACAAATGTTAATTCCAACCCTTTACTGATCACCATCTTTAAATACTTCTATCTTTACTCAAAGATCATCCATGTGAAGAAAGTAATGGTCTTCAATTCAGAAGAGGCATAGAACAGGAAACAAGATTGATTTTTTTTTTTAATGGAAAAAATAGCTTAGCTGGCTGTGGATTTCAGTTGAGAGGGTTAGAAGGGTAGATTTGGGTAGGGTGTGATCCTGGATCAGCAGTTAAATTGCTGCTCACAAGTATCCAAAACATTTGTTTAGGCAGTGAATAGGAAATAAGCAATGGAAGGCGAGCACAGGGTGTGCTCCGCCTCAAGTCACACTCTTCAGCAGCCTGGCTAAAATTAGATTTGGGGCCCTTGGTTATCATCTGTCTTACTAACCACAAGACCACATCGCTTTCCTTTCTAAATGAAAATAGCACTAGCACAGAACCTAGTTAGTTACTCAGTTCAACTAACTTCAGACCTTTCAGTGATACACTTGCAAATGTTCCATGTTAGAGTCTCTCTCTTCAAAATGTGGAAAATCAAAGTGACTCATTACATGTACAAATGCATCTGATAGTGCTACTTGAATAAATCAACTAACAGAAGCAGCTCATCATGAGGCAAAATACAGTAACATCAAACTCTTAAATATTTGAACAAAGAATGAATAAAATCTCATTGAG